AAATTAAAAAGCTGTTCCTTGTCACATGGAAATTGGGGATTCCTATGTAAAACAGTTTTAAAAATTGGGAATAATTCAAATACATACAAGTATTAGTTGCTCAGTCGTATCCGACTCTGTGTGACCCCATGGACTGTAGCCCACCGGGCTCCTCTATCCATGGAATTCTCCAGGCAAGAATACTGGAGTGTGTTGCCAAAATTGGGAATAAAGACAAACCCAAAGAGGAAAATAAAAGTCACTTGTCATCCCACAGCCCAGAGATAACCACCCTTAATTTATTATTTTTCAGAAGTTCCTTCTTCTCTTAGACACAAAACCTACTAATATATGATAAACTCATTTGGTTTTTAGGGTCATAACTTGTCCAGTCTAATAATTATTTTGGTGGAAATGTGGAGATCTCAGGATCCAAATGCAACATTGAGGTTCAGACTCATAAAGAAGGCTAATAGACATATCCTATGTCTGTTAAAGGAGCCTTTAAAATTTTTTTATTGTTATATAACCTTGTAGGGAGAAGGAAATGGCAACCCACTCCAGTGTTCTTGCCTGGAGAATCCCGGGGACGGAGGAGCCTGGTGGACTGCCATCTATGGGGTCGCACAGACTTGGACACGACTGAGGCGACTTAGCAGCAGCAGGAGCATATAACCTTGTATTTAATTTTTCTTCTAATTGATTGTGTGACCTTCAGAAAGGCTTATTTCAGGAACAAATAAGAAACATGCTTGGTCAGTTTAAACTTATAAGGTTACAGCAGCTGCCCAGATCTTCAGCAGATGACAGGATATTCTACTGTCAGCTGGTGTTGCTGTGGGTTGTACAACAGATTCACCAGCCTGAGACTAAGTGTATTTTTTTTCTTATCAGCTCCAGGATCAGGGAGCTAATCTTTAATCCTGGATTACAGTCAACCAAAGGCTAGTAGCACATATAACAGATGTGTCCCTGCATTTGGTATTATGAGGAAATTTCACTCGATTAAAAAAGTTTTAATGATATCTTCATCTCCCATTTAGTATGTTGGTGGTTAAGTGCAAGTAAAGTAGTATGTAGAATTGAAATCTTTTATTGCCAAATAGTTCCCAGTCTCAGAGCAAGTATTATTATAGACTTGTCTAGATAAACAGGAGAACTTATATGTTAAAGTGAGTGGGCTTGTGGCTTTTCCTCAGCCCTAGGGATCATGATGGGTATTGGAATTAAGATTGTAGTCATAGTGATGAATCAGAGAGAAGATAAAAGCCAGGGAAGAGTACCAATGGGACAGATATAAAAGCAGTGGAAAGTCTGGGACTAGCCCTGGAGGGAGCCCAGCCAGTTTCCAGCATAATGACATTAGTTATCTTGCTTCTCAGTGATGTAGACCCCCAGTTTGTACATTCTTGTTGCTGACATTCTTTTTGCTACCATTTTCCTGTTCCTTGGCTCCCTACTAGGTATTGATCAGGACATTGGAATTGGACAGAAAGAACAAAATGCCATGAATCAGTTTTCCTTCTGGGAATCAGCTCTAGTAGAAACAATTGACAGAAAGGTGGTTGAAGTATTACTTTACACTCTGTGTTCCTGAATTACCAATGCTGTCCCCTTTATTTTTCCATGGATAATTAAGATTTGGTTGAACATAGATGAATTAACACAGGTATGAGCTACTGTTGGTCAAGAAAATTTTTATTATTTATTATAAATTCAACCTTTGATATTTGAGTGCCAAATATTTTTATCATTTATATTTCTTTTATTTTATAATTGAAGTATAATTTACAATATTATATTGGTTTCAGGTGTACAGCATAGTGATTCAGTATTTTTATATATTTATTCTATGTAAAGTTGTTATAAAATATTGGCTATATTCCTTGTGCTGTACAATATATCCTTGTAGCTTATTTACTTTATGCATAGAAGATTTGTGCCAGTTAATCCCCTACCCATATCTTGCTCCTCCCTCCTATCAATTGTATTTTAATAATTCATTTATTTCTTATTTTATAAAATACCAAATAATAGGAATTATTTCTAAAATATATAGTAAGTTACAATGTAAACATTATAAAATGATGTGAAAAGAAAGGATTATTTAACAAATTTTTAAAAATCACTAAATAACAATATGAAAAAATTAGTTTGCATTAGTTCTCACATCCTACAACAAATTAAGCTTGAGATGCAAAGGTTAAGCTTAAAAAATCAACTATAGATCACTCTTAGAAGATAGATTACACAGTGGAAGAAATCACAAAGCAAATTACAGGCAACTATAAAAGTATTTTGTTTAAAACATGACATTAAAAGAAAAATGCTTTTGTAAGAAGTCTCTTCATATGTATCAAATAGAAACCTCCTTCAAGTTTGTGAGAACTGCAAACCCAAGTAAATAAATGGACAAGGGGTAAATTTGATAATTCATACAAAGAAGATGTATTAAACAAATGTGGAAAAAGCATTCTACATCACTGGTAATTAAAATAATGCACACTTATAAAACACTATATCTAATTAATTTAGCACCAAAAATTAATTGGCAGTAGTCATTGCTGGCAAAGTTGTAGTAAAAGAGACTTATGCTTTACTAATGTCAGCAAAAACTTGCAGAATTCTTTTGGATAGCAATTTGCAATGTATACCAAGAACCAGGAAATTATATTCTTTAAGGATTGAATGTGAGGAATAATAATATAAAGAAAAGAAGTATCAGATTTAAAATAGCAAACAAAAAACTAGAGACACTTAAGTACTATGAAAGGTAAGAGGATACAGTAAAGAGCTGTTAATCTTATAAATAAAAACTGTAAATATATGGGGAATACATAATACATGAAAAAATAGAAAAAATTGTACATCACATACACTTTTACATAGCTATATGCATATAAACAAAGACTAAAATAAGATGAAAACAGAATATGGCTTGGGATTTCAGATAAAATATATGCTTTTCTGTTTCTAGTATTTTCTAATGTTTTCTAGTACTTAACAGTAAATAAAGATTGAGTAAATAGAGAAAAACAGTTAAAGATTGTCTAATTTTAGTAATTATGTATTAAAAATTAGAGTAACCTGAATTTTTATAGAGTTATTTGGAAAAATATTGCCTAGTTATGCTCTTGCTCAAAATCCAGTGCTAGTACTTAGCCTCCAGAATGGTCAAAATGACACTGTGTTCAGTTCTTTACTGGACCATTAATGAGTAACTCTTTCAGTATACCTGGGTCCCATGTGTGCCACACGAATAAGCCTATGAGGATGAAAATTCTTGGATGCCATAAAGATAACTTAGAGCAGTCAAGACTGTAACTTACTGTTTCCACCCAAATTTTACATGGTATTGTTTGTTCCTTTGGTGATTTCATATTTGTGAGCTATTTATGTTTTAGAGAGGTTTGTTTTTGTAGAGCATCTATTCAGTTTCAGTAGAGCAGAAACCTTAATGCTGGTCATACCACAAGAATGGGACAAATGCCCATGCTATTAATCTCCCTCACTGTAATTTTTTCTGCACTATGTAGTATTACATTTGGAAGGTCATGTTTTAACCACTGTAACAAGAAAACACATTTTATTAAGAATCTGTGGAATTTCTTTTCTCTCAAAGTAGAGAAAACTAGAAGAGAGAGAAATGTAGTTCCCTTCCAGTCTTTCTGCTTTTGCTTCATCAACATAGTAGTGAGTTGATTTACTTTCAAGACGAGAATATCTTCAAAGCTGATTCAACACTACTTAGTTCAGTGTTCTGCAAACTGTAGCCTTTAAGTGATTGGTGATCTGACAAGAATCTCTCATAACCTTTAGCGTGGTCATCATCTTCTCCTCACTTCACGGGGCTCCTAGCTCTTTGATGTTCATTTCTGTCCAGTGCAGCGATAATGCACTGGCAGAAAGGATAATCAATGGATTATAGTCTTCTTTTCAAGTTTCATGAAATTAAAGCACATATTGATTGAATTTTTTATCTATTTTAAATAGTATTTTATTCACTATAGAAGTAATATATGCTGAAAGTTACAGTATTGTAAATCAACTATACTTCAATAAAATAAAAGTAATATAGGCTTATGGTTTATATTTTTTAATACAGAAAAGGATAAATAACATAACATGAATCATCAATAATGCCACCACTTAGAGATGACCCCTGTTACATTTTTGGTGCAAACAGAAATTAAACTTTAAGAGAAACTGGCAAATACTGCATCTATATGTGTAAATTTATCAAGACTAATAAATAACCCTCTCTTTCAATTACTTCAAGAGAGGGAACGTGGTATAGCAGAGAAAACATTGTCCCTGGACTCAACCCAGTTCCACGGTCTTTGGCCCTGTTTTGCCACTTACCAATTTTATGACTTTCAGTTGTTTAAGGCCTGGTTACCCTATGCCTTAGTTTTCTCATTTTTAAGTAACCGTGATATGGACAGACTTGTAGGATTCTTGTAAGAATTAAATATATGACAGACCTAAAACACTCTGCTAGTGTCTGGCATATAGTAAGTACTAAATAAAAGGTAAATACTAATTTAATTGTTATACATCATTAGGTCCTCAGGAGAGTATCACTGAAAATGCATTCAACAAGGATTAACTGAGCACCTGCACTAGAAATTCAGAGAGGAATAAAGCAACACTTGTAATGGGTAATAAGGTAGGGATAATGATGTAGAGACAGATGAACTGACTGAACATGCAAGCTTCAAGTGAGGAGGTGAGGCTGTGGGAGTGTCAGAATGTGTTTTGTTTGGAGGTGATTATATTGGAGATTTCCCATCTGCAGGATTTCACTGGTTAAAAATCTGTACAAACTAATACATGTGAATATCTCTGTGATATCAAGACCCATAGAAAAGTTCCATCTTTTAGCAAGTTACCAGGTGAGAGACAAAAGTTGAGGTCATTCTGGGTGATGGTGAAATTGGTCCCTGCAGAGTGGCCTTGTAGAATGGCCCCTGAGCAGATTCCAGGATCTCTTTATGCTTGTTTCTCACTTGTGTGCCTAGATACTTGGGAAGTGCCATTTGAGGAGATCTCAGAGCTGCAGTGGCTGGGTAGTGGAGCCCAGGGAGCTGTCTTCTTGGGCAAGTTCCGAGCGGAGGAGGTGGCCATCAAGAAAGTGAGAGAACAGAATGAGACGGATATCAAGCATTTGAGGAAGTTGAAGCACCCTAACATCATCGCTTTCAAGTAGGTCAAGGCTTTTTTTTTTTTTTTTTTTAAATTAAAGAAATAGATTTTCTTTCCCTCAGTACATACATGTAAGTTCCTGACTTAAAAGACATGTTAAGAATACTCTACAGACTTAGCAATGTGCTAGGTGCTTTGGGAGGATACCAAGGAACTATTACATTAGAATTATGTTTTTGAGAATTTGATAGTCTAATAGCTCTTTTTGCCAGAGCACACAGTGCTTGGAAGGGAGGGAGATACATGGGACAGAGAGGGAGAAGGTGAACTCCTGCCATGCAGTCAGATCTGCTGAATCAATGTAATTTATCAATAGCATAACAGAGGCCTCTTCAGGATAACCTGAACACCTTCAAGTTCAATTAAGAAAACAAAGCTAGCATCTGAAGTGATCAGAGAACAATTAGTTCCTTGTAAATAGGGGTGTATTTTCTTTAGTGTCTCTTCTGAAATATTAACTTTTAGTACAGGTACCTTCAGAATATTTCTCCCTGCCTCAGGTTTTGCCAGATTCCTTTTCAAGGAATGCCAAAACTGGTTTTCTAAATCTAATAATAGAATTCGTGATTATAGTAAATCAAATGATACATTTATTTCACAAAGTGGTTGTTTTCAAGAGAGTATGGACATATCTTTCTAGTTTAGACCCTTATTTTCATAATGTTGACAGGGATCCTCAGAAGTAAATTTGTGGAAGGCACCGGATTTGGTAGTGCCAAGAGACTATGTGCTTTATGGGCTTCCCTTGTGGCTCAGCTGGTAAAGAATTCGCCTCCAATGCAGGAGACCTGGGTTTGATCCCTGGGTTGGGAAGATCCCCTGGAGAAGGGAAAGGCTACCCACTCCAGTATTCTGGCCTGAAGAATTCCATGGACTGTATAGTCCATGGGGTCACAAAGAGTCGGACACGACTGAGCAACTTTCACTTCACTTCACTTTCAAGAGGATATGTGTGATCTCTTCTGCCTGTACCTTTCCCTTGAGTTCCTTCTCTTACTAGCATTGAAAATTTTGTCCTTGGCTTAACAAATGAATGATGTGCAGCTTAAGAGGAAGAAAGGTGAAGAATGGGAAAGAAAACCTTTAGGAAGGATGAAAGATTAGAAATTGGAGCCTCTTGGTATATTTTTATATAATATATATTGAGTTTATATATAGGAAAATAATATGACCAATGAAGTTTTAGCCAAAAAGTGGACTAGCTTACAAATTCCCCTTCCCTAACCTTGGAGGGACTTCTTCCAGCCCCCCAAGAGGGATCCTTTCCTTAAGAAAACTCTCCTTATAAAGTTAAACATGTCATGCAACAATTTCTAATTGGAACTGTATCCCCAAAGTAAGGAATAAAAATCTTGGGTACAGGTTTTGTAAAATAGATTTAGGTGTGTGTTAAGGCTGAATTTTGATTCCCAAACAACACCCCTTATGGAAAGGGAAAGAAGTATGAAAAGAAGCTGTATCAACTGGGATACTCAATGGAGTCTTTGGATTCATTTCCTTGTAGAAGGAACATCCCTGCAGAGGACATGGAGAGAACTTCAGTTGCTGTAGTGATTCTATTATTGGTTGCCCTAGGAGGGCCAGGAGGGTGTGAGACTAAAACAAAATACTATAGAGACCAATTATAATCCTTCCCGAGATGATAAGTTTCACAAGACAATGGGTGGATTGTTTTTAAGCAGACAGACTGTCAGAAACTCCCTTCTTTCCTTCATTTTACCTCACTGAGAGGATCGTCATTATAGTATGGTATACCCTCATAATGGACTTCCCTGGTAGCTCAGACAGTCAAGCGTCTGTCTACAATGCAGGAGACCGGGCTTCGATCCCTGGGTCGGGAAGATCCCCTGGAGAAGGCAATGGCAACCCACTCCAGTACTTTTGCCTGGAGAATCCCATGGACGGAGGAGCCTGGTAGGCTGCAGCCCATGGGGTTGCTAGGAGTTGGACACGACTAAGCGACTTCACTTTCTTTTTCGCTTTCACTTTCATACCCTCATAAATGGAAGGAAGAGCCTTTTACTTAACTAAATTTTAAGCTTAAATCACTGGATTTGAGACATAGAATATTCTATGATGAGCTTGGCTTTTTGGCCTCCCGAAGTGAACTAGGCTGTGAGTCTCAGGCCTGAGGGCTCTCTAGCAGGATGTCGTGGATCACTGAAGGTAGAAATGTGTCCTCAGAAGGCGAGTGTGAGAAGCTGGATTTTTTCTTCTTTTCTTTTGTTTCTTCCTTTTTACTCAGTCTTTTCCCCACCTTACCCTCTGACCCTCCTACCTGCATGTGCAGTTGTCAGCATTGTGGATAAGGATTGCTTTGTTGGTGTCCAACTCTTTAGGCTGAAGATGCTTGAACGGTCTTTACTCTACATGGGAAACAATAGTGAGACTGTGTCCCTGGCCCATCACACCAGGCTCTTGAGGCGTTGTGCAATGTTGTGTTTGCAGCCGTCTGTGCCATTGTGTTGCCTGGCCAGTGAATCACTCAGAAGCGTCTGGAAGACATGAAAGCATGATTAGATGTTAGTATGTCTCTCTGGATACTGATTTCTGTACTTTCAGCTTCTTTTGAAGTTAGTAGAAACCATGCACAGAAGGGAAGCGCAAGAAAAGAATACAATATTCTCTTTTTCTTCTAATTTTTTTAAGCAATCTTTTAAGAAAACCCAACCTGCCTGTTCCTAATGGAATTGGGTGCCAAAGGGAAGAAAGGTAGCAATTAGAAGTGATTATAAAGCTGTTATTTATAGCTACTAAGAAGCCTTGTCATAGTACAGGGCTGATGGAATGATTGCTTCTCATTTGTCAGTCAAGAAAGATGAAAAGTATATAGAATATCACTATTAGACAATGTTTGTCTGACAAGCTAAATATAGTTGAATAGGATGCTGAGTAGTTTCAAACAAATATTTGCTTTGTTATTCTTAAGCACATTACATTATGTCTGCCCTTACTCATCATTTCTCTGTAGTAAAAATCTAAATTGTCTATTTGTAGTTGCCGTATACTTGTGCTCCACTGAGTTTTCCTGAAAGTCAAGTAACAGAAACTTGAAAACAAATTTTCTTTAAAAATCAAGATGAGCGTCTTCTTTGGTGGGCCAGTGGTTAAGAATCCGCCTGCCAATGCAGGGAACATGGTCAGGGGAGATCCCACATGTCATGGGGCAACTAAGCCTGTGCACCACAACTACTAAGCCTGCGGTCTAGAACTCGTGCTCTGCAAGAAGAGAAGCCACACTGCAAGGAAGCGCCCACCCACAGCAACTAGAGAAAGCCCAGATGCAACAAGGAAGATCCAGTACAGCCAAAAATAATAAATAATTTTTTTAATCAAGATAAGAATTCTGCGGGGCTTAGAAAATGATAGGAAAGTAACAGAGATAGCTTTGTGGCATTTGACAGCTTTGTGGCATCAAGACAGGGAAAATGAAAACTAATTATACTTCTTCATAATCTGCCATTGTTTTAAGACTTTCACAAGCCACTGCTTCTAAATTCTTTTACCACTTATGGCAACCTAAGAGACAGGACATGAATTGGTAGCTGGTTGAGGACTTTAGCTGGGAGTCTTGTAGGCAGAATAATGATATTCTTTTGGAGGAGGGCATATGTATCATTAAGAGATAAGACACAGAGAATTGCTCATGGTAATTTTTCTTATCTTTTCTTATTTTCAGAACAAAACTGTGAAGTAAAATTAATATGATTTTCCCACTTTTATAAGATAACAGTATTAATATAAGAATCCCCAATATGCTTGTCTATACAGACTTTAACAAACTTTAAGAAAGGAGGCAATGTAGTGTAGTGAGTGGAAAGCACATGGCCTTTGAAGTTAGACAGACAGGATTCAAATCCGAGCTCTGTCAAGTATTAGCTGTATGATCTAGTCAGTTTTCCTCTCTAAGCCTTAACCTGTAGAATGGAAAAGATAGTATCTATTGTACAATGATTTGGGGCAGATTAAATAAGGCAGTTAACTAGCAAGTAAGCATACCTGACACATAGAAGATGTTCCTTCCTGTTGTTATGCTTCCTCCTACCCCTTGCTTCTGCACCTGTTTGTGCAAAGGCTTTATCAGCAAAAAACGTCCAGGTGAAGTTAAGAAATTTTTGTCAAGAACCTGCTATGAACTTCTAAGCCATGTGGTAGAAAGAAAAGAACTTGAAGACCTTTTCCTTCAAGGAGCTGATAATCTGTAGAGGGACGGAAAAACAGTATATAAAAAATTAATTGTAGCATAGGAAATTAGAGAAGAGAAAGATTTTTTTAGACTGGAATAATCAGGAAAGTCTTCATAGAAGATGTAGGAATTAATGAAAATGGAGGCTGCATAGGTGTATAATAGAATGTGTGACATTTTTATTCTAAACAGAAATGTTTTTCAGATACTTATAGAAAATTGATTCTTTTGGTATTCAGTCTAATTACCCTAAATTTGAGTAATTTAAAATTCAACAAATCTAATGGTAAAAATAGAAATATTTTACTTGAATTTCTCTGTACACTATATGTAAAACTTCCATTTAATTTTTAAGAGAAGATACTTAAATTTTTCTTAATCTAAAAGAACAGTGTCCAGCCTACACAAGTCTCAGAGAAAGATGCTCTTTGTTTTAGAATGACATGGTCCCACAGAAAAAGCACCAATACAGCATAGCATATAGATACCTGAGGGCTTCCCAGGCGGCACAGCAGTAAAGAATCCACCTGCTGTGCAGGAGACGCAGGTTCAGTTCCTGAATCAGGAAGATCCCCTGGAGAGGGAAATGGCAGCCCACTCCAGTGTCCTTGCCTGGGAAATCCCATGGACAGAGGAACCTGGCAGGCTTCAGCCCATGGGGTTGCAAAAGAGTCAGACACAACTTAGCGACTGAACAACAATAGATATCTGAAGTGAACAAAGCAAACTAAAATTGCCTATGTGCTAACAAAGAACCACGTAGACTACAGGGGCTCAAATGGTAATTTAAGAATCGGGGTATATATGCATTTTATAAATAATTTGGATAGAAAACCTGTCTTCATTAAATTTATTAAATATTTTTAGAGTATAAATATGTATACATGTATGTTTATGTGATCTGTGTATTCATGTATATGTCTGTGTTTTCTTGAAAGGGGTGTTTGTACTCAGGCCCCATGTTACTGTATCATCATGGAATACTGTGCCCATGGACAACTCTATGAGGTTTTGCGAGCTGGCAGGAAAATCACACCTCGATTGTTAGTAGACTGGTCCACGGGAATTGCAAGTGGAATGAATTATTTGCACCTTCATAAAATTATTCATCGTGATCTCAAATCACCTAAGTGAGTTCCAGAACTAACTTTTCAGTCATTTTATTTTATTGTTTTGAAATATGGAATTTTATTAATCATAATGAAGCTTTTAGACTATTTTCAGTTCAGTTTAAATAAGCAGAGTGGATATCTCTATTTGCATATTTTGGAGATTGCTATTAACCTCCTTACTTGCCTATATGGCAGATATGTCCAGGTACCTGCGTGGTTTTCCCTTTTTGTTGCTTTGTAATTGTACAACTATGAAACAAAATACATTATTAACCAAAGAATTCACTTTCCATCATCTCAGATAATGAATGCCAGACTTTCCCACTGGAAGACTTGTTTTCCTAGTGTGTTTCCCCTAGAAAACCAATTTTCCGAAACTGAGTTTCAGAAATATATACAACAGAATAAAAATGGATTAAAAAATAAACCAGAGGTAAAGAGAAAGTAAAACATTAACTAAAGCTTGTCCACAAAATGTATGCCATTAGTTTCTGTACTGTCACTAGAAGTGGATTATGAATTTGGCTTTGAGCTTCCTAGAATCTAAGCAAAGAAGTAAACAAGTAAAGTTCCACAATGTCCATTAAACAATATAAACTGGTTATTTAAGAGAAGCAGAGCTGTTTCTAGTAATCTTTGTTTTCAGAATGATTCTTTGGTTCCCAATAACCACTTTAAGAGAAATGCTTATTCAAGTTTCCCAAAATGCATGAAGCAAGGAAAGAAATTGATCAAATAGTACATTCCAATGTGGCTCCTATTTTTATACATTATTTTCCATCACATTTTTGTTTAGAGAAGCAGAAGAGAATCTTTTCCCAAAACATTTTTGCATAGTGCTTTCATGATTTACAGCATTTGAAAATATTATCATATCCGCTTTAATTTTGGCCAAAAAATGTATGGAAGAGATATAATAATTATCATTATTCTTATTTTATGTAAGATAATCTAGAGCTCAGAGCCCAAAGTCATGAAGGTAGTACTTGAACCCAGAACTTAGACCACAGACCACTGCATCCTTCCTCATCCTGATAAAATGAGGGAGTCCTGCCTCTCCTCCATGGGAGATACAAATCTGTCCTTGATTATCAACTGCAAGGCAGCTCGAATTTATCACTGTTCTCAACAATGTTTATTACAGTCCTTAGCTCACTAAAAAACCTTCTCCTTGCTTTCCTTACCCAAAAACTTTATTATAGTGTTCATTCCTTCTGTTCACATTTTTAACACAATCTGTTGTTTCTGTCATCCACTGCATACATATAAAGCGCACAAGATACTTTGCCGAAGACCTCTTTGAATGGCCTCCTTCTTATTCAGCTTGTTCTCCTTAAGAATTATTTTAGGGAATTCTCTGGCTCTTCAGTGATTAGGACTCAGCACTTTCACTGCTATGGCCCAGGTTCAAGCTGTGTGGATTGCCCCCCCCCCCCAAAAAAAAGACTTATTGTTAAAATGATTTCTCTATATTGTTAAGCCTGTGAACCCCTAACTCCTTAACACTCTAATGTTCTAAACAGGTTATTTCAAGTGAATTCAAGCAGTGTGTGAGGGTGCTAGCACTCTGGATTTGACTGGTACTAGATTATACTCAGGCTAGCAAAAGCAGTTTGCACCAGGTCACATCCCCCAGGTCAGATCACTATTATAACAAGTGAAATATGTAACAAATTATATAAATAAAAAATTATATATAACAAGTAAAATATTCTACACATGACTTCTGTAAAATCTGAGCTTAAATTTATTCCTGCTTTTTCATAGCAACATTAATAGAATCCCAGCATACTTACTAGCCTTCTATATTAATGAATCCTGTGTGTCATTGTTCCATGCATGATTTTAGTTGGCCATTATTTAAACAGTGTTTTAAAAGAAGTGCTTTTCCCATTGGGTTGTCTGAGACTGGCAAGGATGACAATCAATGTTTATTGAGATGGGTGCTTTACATAGCTTATCTCATTTAATTCAAATGAAAATTTTATGAGACCACTAATTACAGACTCATAATGCCTTATCCAAAACTCCTAAACTCAAATGATTTCAGAAAGGTAGCATAGGGCATTACATTACATCCCCAGCAAAGTCTGGGGCAACACCCTATAATCATACACATTCATAAATCCATGGCAAAGCCTTTGAGAGTTGCACAAAGTGGGATAAGTAAATTGAGTTTGCTTTATACATATGAGAAAATATTTATAAACCATTTTCAGAGATGTTTGAATTGTGAATAAGATACCGTGACCTGAATTGTCTCCATCTTACAGATGAGAAAACTGGCTTAGAAAAATTAAGTAATTGGCAAAGGTCACACAGTTAGCAAATGGTGGAGGCAGGATAAAACCAGGTGTAGCAAGCCCAGTATGCTGTGCTGCTCACAAGTATAAATGATGCTGCTCCTGGTGGGTAGCTAAGGCCCCAGTAGCACTGGAACTAGAGAGCTGAGTTCTGCAATGTAGGAGGCAGCAAACAAAATCTTCAGTTGCCAGTTAGTCATGATTTTAATTAGTACTAACGATCTGAATGCTTTCTTTCTTTCTTTTTAAAGTGTTTTAGTGACGCACACAGATGCAGTAAAAATTTCAGATTTTGGTACATCTAAGGAACTCAGTGATAAGAGTACCAAGATGTCCTTCGCTGGCACTGTCGCCTGGATGGCACCAGAAGTGATACGGAATGAACCAGTCTCTGAAAAAGTCGATATATGGTGAGTGGTGCCATCTGTCCCAACCAAAAAGCCTATTCCCACCTTCACCCTATAAGCACTTTCTTCTTTCAACACTTCTACTCACCCAAAATACTCTAATATTACTCAGTTCTAGTTGATTTCAGTCTCATGTAATCCGAGGTACTACCCAGTGTGATGACACTTTGTAAGAAGGATTGGGAGAGGAGGAATTGGGGTGAGTATCCACTCAATAAATCATCAGTTTTGGGGAACCATCAAGAGAGTATGCTGAACTTTCTAGAAAACTAAAAGTTTACTTCAAATAGCCGTTTAGTATACAAGTCTTTCTGAAATATATTACATAATTCTTTCCTTCTTGAATAAAACATGGTAAACGAAGTTTACCTATTCTCAGACCATCATCAGGTGTATTTGTGATGTACTTTGCTCTGATACAGTTATATGCTTTGAGGTATACAGGTCTATTTGCTTTTTTATTTAACAGTCCTGATAGACTATGCTTTTTTGGGGGGCGGGGAGAGGTTTTCATCTTTATTTTCTTTTCCTTGAGGTTCCACATCTCTGCTATTAACAGTATATTTTCCTGTACTTGCTTTTCTTTCATTCTTAAAATTGGCGACTAGTAACTTTTAGACTTTAAACCAAAATAATAGCCTATATCTAGAACTGGACATGGAACAGACTGGTTCCAAATAAGAAAAGGAGTATGTCAAGGCTGTATATTGTCACCCTGCTTATTTAACTTATATGCAGAGCACATCATGAGAAACGCTGTGCTGGAAGAAGCACAAGCTGGAATCAAGATTGCCGGGAGAAATATCAATAACCTCAGATATGCAGACGATACCACCCTTATGGCAGAAAGTGAAGGAGGAGAGTGAAAAAGTTGGCTTAAAGCTCAACATTCAGAAAACTAAGATCATGGCATCTGGTTCCATCACTTCATGGGAAATAGATGGGGAAACAGTTGAGACAGTGTCAGACTTTATTTTTGGGGGCTCCAAAATCACTGCAGATGGTGATTGCAGCCATGAAATGAAAAGATGCTTACTCCTTGGAAGGAAACTAGCCTAGATAGCATATTTAAAAGCAGAGACATTACTTTACCAACAAAGGTCCGTCTAGTCAAGGCTGTGGTTTTTCCAGTAATCATGAATGGATTTGAGAGTTGGATGGTGAAGAAGGCTGAGTGCCGAAGAATTGATGCTTTTGAACTGTGGCGTTGGAGAAGACTCTTGAGAGTCCCTTGGACTGCAAGGAGATCCAACAAGTCCATCCTAAAGATCAGTCCTGGGTATTCATTGGAAGGACTGATGTTGAAGCTGAAACTCCAATACTTTGGCCACCTCATGTGAAGAGTTGACTCATTGGAAAAGACCCTGATGCTGGGAAGGATTGGGGGCAGGAGGAGAAGGGGACGACAGAGGATGAGATAGTTGGATGGCATCACCAACTCGATGGACCTGAGTTTGAGTGGACTCCGGGAGTTGGTGATGGAGAGGGAGGCCTGGTGGGCTGCAGTTCGTGAGGTCACAAAGAGTCAGACACGACCGAGTGACTGAACTGAACTGATAGTTTTAAAGTAAATAAGATAAAGTAGAAATGTGAGATCATTTGTAATTTGAGTAATTATTACCAAAGTATCCTCATTAGGGATTACATCAATTTATGTTCCCAACAGAAATGTTTAAGAGAGTTTTTTCAGGCTCACCAACAAAATGTGTTCAACTTTGGGATCTTCTGCCAACCATATAGCTAAAAAAAAAAAAAAAATGCTGTCTTAGGTGCAGTCTTAATTTGCATATCTCTTTTTATAAATGGGGTTGTAGTTTTTTCATATATTTACATACCCATTTGTAATTTCTTATTTACACACTAATCCTTTACTAAGTTTTCTGACATTTTATTCTTATCAACTTATAAGAGTATTTCACATATTAAGGAAATTATCCTTCTGTGTATATGAATTACAGATACTTTTCACTTTTGTTGTTTTGCTTATGTTAGAGGGTTTTTCCATGTCAAGATTTTCTTTTAAGCAGTTTGATTTATCAGTCTCTCCTGTTATGACTTCTGGATTTCTTAATTAGAAAAGCTTTCAGAAAAGCTTTCAGAAAAGATCTCAGATACTCTTAAGATTTTTTTTAATTTCCATATGTTGAGAATTTTTAGGATTTCATTTCTCACATTTAAATCTTTGATGCATTTGGAATTTATCTTAGTGTAAGATAAAGTGTAGATTTAATTTTTTCCCCAGTTGTCCCAACAGTATTTATTGAATAACCAATTTTTCCCTACTGGTAAGATGTAACGTCCGTCATATACTCAATTCCTTTATGTATTTGGTCTATTTCTAGATTTCTGTTCCTTTCCATTACCCTAGCTGATTATTCATCACACTGTTAATTAGTGAAGCTTTGTAGTATGTTTTAATATCTGATAATATTTGTTACCCTTCATTAGTTTTCTTTTTTAGAGTTTTCCTGGCTGTTTCTGTTTTTTCTATAGCAATGTTAGAGTTTTATGTGTTTGATTGAAAATTACTAAATAACTAAAATACAAATCAGTCTTTCTGAAATGTCTTCTGTGCTTGTTCCCGGGGCTGCTATAGGTCTTTTGGAGTGGTGCTTTGGGAGCTGCTCACAGGGGAGATTCCATACAAAGATGTAGACTCTTCAGCCATTATTTGGGGGGTTGGAAGCAATAGCCTACACCTTCCAGTTCCTTCCACTTGCCCTGATGGATTCAAAATCCTTATGAAGCAGACATGGTAAGAAATATGTTTCTCCCAACATTCTCTTCTACCTTCTTCCTCAAAACTATGTATAAAACTTCTCTAAACCATATTTAAAACAGCAGGGACGTCTCTAACATGTATTTGGAATGAATAACCTTACTTTGTGTAAAGTCTAGGAGCCTTGGAATTTGAGAACTTTGTATTCACATACCAGTTCTACCCTTTTCTATCTGTGTAATTTGTGACATGTCATCGAAGTAGCAATTTTCTCACTTGTGAAATGGGGATAGTATGATTAATTAAAAATTATAAATAAAGAATTTGGTCTGATATCTTGAAGCAGTAGGCCTTAGTAAATGATAGCTATCACCATTTTGCCAGTCCTCAGGGATCGTTATTATCAAACAGATTCTAGAGATTTCTAGTTCATCATTAGAGGCATCTCATAATTATATTTTCCTTTTGTTCTTCAGTACATCAAAACTGCCTGAGATATAGCCACACATGGAGTCAGAAATGTTTTTTGTTTTTTTTTTTTTTTTGTAAAGTAGAATAAAATGTTTACCCTCCTGGATACAACTTCTGAAATGCACAAGCTATTTTTTTTTTTTAACTTTTAGGCAGAGTAAACCTCGCAACCGACCTTCTTTTCGGCAGACACTCATGCATTTGGACATCGCGTCTGCAGATGTACTTGCCACCCCACAAGAAACTTACTTCAAGTCTCAGGTAAGTCTGGAAACTCTTCCAGGTCCTGCTAAACAAACAGACAGGGAACTCTTAATGAGAAGCAGTAGCTCCTAGAAAAGGGCATTTTGATTCTTAGAACAATTACATAACTCGACTCACTGTGAAACAATAATGATGATTATTATAAACGTCACACATACAACTTTGGAGTTTTTTTTTTAACATTCTGGAATTTTGGAGGGTTTTTAAGCACTTAACATATGTGAATTCTCTTATCTGAAAATACCTTGTATTAAAATATCATCTTCATAGTGGGTTCTGGTGAAATTGTTGGAGGAAAAAGAGGAAAAGAAGATATGAAAACTGTAGTGTACCTGCATTTAAATTAAAATTATTGCTAACCTTCATGAAAGTATTGCTTTTCTTAAAGTTAGAAAAGCTAAAGTAAAGAGGAGGAACGTTAAAGCCCAGAATGATTCTGTGATAGAATTAGGCCCAGGAGAACCTTTTCTCTAACCTTTTCACCTAGTAACACCAAATAAAATGTAATTTAATGTATCTGTTAGCCTTTACTGCAAAACGTACGGCTTAACACAGTACGCTGTTATTGAGCTCATGATTCTGTGGGTTGGTTATTTGTGCTGGGTGGTTCCTCAGCTGGCCTTGTCTAGGCTCACTCACATGTCTGCAGTCAGTTGCCAGGTCTGCTGGGAGGCTGGCTGGTTCCAGATGGCCTCATTCACTAGTCCCGCCTCAGCTGGCTGTTAGCTCAAGCACCTCAGTTTTCCTTCATGTGGCCCTTCATCCTTCAACAGGCAAACTTGGGCTTGTTCACATGGTCTTCTCAAGGTAACAAATGTGGCAGGAGAGCAAGCCCCAGTGCACAGGTGATTTTCCAGCCTGGGTGCATTGTAGTTGCCAGTGTCTCATTGGCCAATGCAAATCACAGGCTAACCCAGATTGAGAAATAGACTTCACCTCCTGATAGTTGCATTAGTGATAAGTGTGTTACCATTAAATAAAAATACTATAAATGGCATAAGGGTCAGTGGTCTACCACTGTCTATTTGGATAGGGAGTTGTGGGGGGAAATCTTTGTATGTGAGGTGCTTACCCCTCCCAGACCCAGGCTATGGCAATAGGAGTAAAATAGAATGAAAACAGGAGGAAACTATGGCTTCTGAAATAAATGTGATGATCTTAAATTATAGCTTTATGCTTATAGAATTTAACTATAGTATTGTCCAATTTTTTCTTGTTTTGTCTCACTTTCTAAAATAAATTTTTGCAAAATGAATTCCATCTCTACATTGACTTCCAGTATCATTTCAAAAGATTCATCTCAGGGAAGACATTTTGTTACCAATTAGTGTCTCTATCTACTTCTGATAGCCCCCAACTCCACTGGGTGATGCGTTTACCTACCAGGAAAGTGTACTTTGAAAGCAAACTGGACTGGGATGGGCATCATCACTGGGAGTTTAAAAAGGACCAAATATGCTTTATTAACTGACTTAACCAGAGGCTTGGGGCATATGCTTCTCTGGTGTCTGAGAAGCAGAGAGATACTCCACCCATCAGATACTGCGAATATCTTAACTTGAGGCTCAAGGTTTTCTAAGGAATAATAAATCAGAGACTTTTCCTCTGTTTCCCAAAGTTCTAACATATTCTCTGTGACCACAAACTTAGCTCTCCCCACACCATGTCTTTGAATAGTCTGGCTTGTCCCTAGAGTTTTTTAGTGTTTCTGAGGAATTATGTAAGTAAAGTATTTGATTTTAGAGAAAATGAGAGGATAACTTCATGATATTTCCTATGTTCTTTGATACTAATTCAGGTAAATTTCCTTAGAACTATTAAAACTATTACCTACCTATACAAATACATGTATGTATTGGTTACTGGATTAGATATCTTTCAAATATTTCCTTATGTTAAGAAAAAGATTTAAGCCCTTTGTGGAACGAAAGAGAATAATAATGAGTGTGTGTTTATGTTAGTCGCTCAGTTGTGTCTGACTCTTTGTGACCCCATGGTCTGTAGCCCACCAGGCTCTTCTGTCCATGGAATTCTCCAAGCAAGAATACTGGAGTGGGTAGCCATTCCCTTCTCCAGGGGATCTTCCCAACCCAGGAATTGAACCCAGGTCTCCCACATGGCAGAACGATTCTTTACCATCTGAGCCACCAGGGAAGCACATGATAATGAGTACTCTCTAGAAAATTTTTCAGACTTAAGGATACAGTATCAATCACAGCTTTGTTTCCTTTTCAAGAAAACTCTATGTACCATAATTTTGAAAAGCAATTTTCATGAAGGTACTAAATCACAAGTCATTGACAGTATGACTGTACGTATTGCGAAAACATCAAATTGTAAACAGACTTTACTTGTGTGCTCCCAGAATATCTCTTCTGAATCCAGGGCCACACTTTCTGAGTACCCAACGTATGTATAACACTGTGTAGTACCCACAGTCTATATCCTCACTTGTATAAACTCACTTTTATTAATCTATGCAGCATTAAAATTGAACTTAGAGAAGGTTCTGTTAGAGCAAGAATTTGAAAAGAGAGGAAGGGGAGAAGGAATGGAAAGGAAAAACAGTGCATAGGACATGTTTTAATATTCATAAATTCTACCACCTTTTTCTCCCAGTGTAAAATTTCACATCTCCTTAAATAGTTCAAAATACCCTTGCTAGTTCCTAGAATTTTTCAGTTATTTACAAGCTGATTTGTTAGGGTGTGAAATTCAGACCATCTCTGGCTAATGATAATAAAGTATTTATGAACTAATGAGGGAGGTACTGGGAAAAGTAACAGATTTTGAGCATAAATCCCTATCCTGTGACCTTGGATAAGATAATAAACATGCAAGTGCACTGTAAACTGTAGAGAGCTGTTTGATTCCAAGATGTTATTATTCATCTCCCACAAAGCTATAAAGATTAAGCCTTCTTTGAGGTTGTATGTTCTGGGTGCTTTTTCTGATGAACTCCTGAGATGGATAAGAATGGCAACTAGGGAGCTCCTATTAATTGTGTTTTGACAAATTATCCTCCCATGATGGGCAAGAACTAGTTTTTTAGCACATAGTTTTGCTTATTGATAGCCCTCTTGTATCTGAGGCCTCGCCTCCTACCTGCTGCCAGAATTCTCTCTGTATCAGTCATCAACCAATAGTTGTTTAGCTGCTGGTCGCCACCTTCCCCCCAAACTATCAGTCAAGGGTGCTGCCAAGAACCCAGCTGATGTCTTCCTGAGAGAACATGCTTCATCTGTTTCTCATCAACAGCACTTGTATAAAGAAGCAGCATATATAGAACAGATGAACAAAGCAACCAATTTCAGTACAAGATTAGATTCTGCCAAAGATATTGCTTCATTCCTGGACAATAAACCATTTCTCCAAGTAGACAATTATTGCTCCTGGTGTTCAATTACATTTGATAGACGTCTTTAGAGGACATTTTAGCCTGGTCCCAGATCCTGGCTGCTAGGTACATCTTGTGTCCTGCTTCTGAGCTCTTCTACAGCCCTCTGTCTTTGCACCATTTTGAGTGCCACTGTTTTTGTTGTTCAGTCACTAAGTTGTGTCTGACTCTTTGTGACCCCATGGACTGCAGCGCACCAGGCTTCCCTGTCCTTCACTGTCTCTCAGAGTTTGCTCAAATTTATGTCCAGTGATGCTGTCTAACCATTTCATCCTCTGCCACCCTCTTCTTTGCCTTCTTTCTCAGCAGGGTCTTTTCTAATAGGTTGACTTTTCACATCAGGTGGCCAGAGTATTGGAGCTTCAGCATCAGTCCTTCCAATGAATATTCAGGGTTGATTTTCTTTAGGCTTGAGTGGTTTGATCTCCTTGCTACCCAAGGGACTCTCAAGAGTCTTCCCAGCTCCCCAGTTTGAAGGCATCAATTCTTCTGCGCTCAGCCTCCTTTATGATCCAGCTCTCACATCCGTACATGACTACTAGAAAAACCATAGCTTTGACTATATGGACCTTTGTTGGCAAGTGATGTCTCTGCTTTCTAATATGCTGCCTAGGTTTGTCATAGCTTTTCTTCCAAGGAGCAACTGTAATTTCGTGACTACCCAGTGCCACTGTGACCTCCCAGAAACCCCGGGGCTGTGAGTTGCAGAGACAGATAGCTCATTACAGGGAGAGTCTGTTCTGCCTTAAGAGTAATTCAATCATGAGCAAGTAGGTCCTAGAAACAGGCTGGTGCTCACCTAGGGAGGCAGCAAGGAGGACTCAGGCACTAGTCAAGAGTTAAGACCTTTCTGACTCAGAATCTAAGATTTCCTACTACTTATAGCCCCTCAACATCCTGCTTCTTCATTTCTCATAACTAAGCTTCTTTTTTTCTCTACTTTATAAAAATCATGGTTAAAAAAATCGTGGTAAAAGATATTATAAAATTTGCTATTTTAACAATTTTTAAATGTAGAATTCAGGGGCAGAAATCACATTCCAGTGTTATAAAACTACCACCATTCTCTATTTTCAAAATTTCTCATTACCTCATTAAGCAGTAACTTCTCATTCTCTACTTCCCACAGCCCTTGGAAATCTCTGTTCTGCTTTCTGTCTCCATGAATTTGCCTACTCTAGATATTTCATTGAAGTAGAATCATATGATAGTTATCTTTCTTTGGTTTGTTTCATTTAGCATGTCTTCAAGGCTCATCTGTGTTGTAGCATGTCACAAATTCATTCCTTTTATGACTGAATAGTATTCTGTTGTATGGATATCATCTATCTTATTTATCCATTCATATGTTAATTCAACTTCATTTTGACACCTCTGTTATGAGAGAGAAGAGGAGCAAGGTATGGGTACAAGAGCTTCAGTGAACTGATTAAATAACTGACAAGACAAAAACTTGGTAAATGGTACGGCCTTTTCCAGGCCTTACCTGTGATATGAAGAGGATTCCATTCATGATGATAACCCAAATTTCACTGTATTTCTCCCTTACCTGCCTACTGGACTTATGTACCTTGTGAAATACCCCTACTCCCTCCCTCCACTCTACATGTAATTTGGGGGGATCCCCAGTAAAGAGGGGGGATCTCAGATAGCCTCGTACTAATGTCTGCCCTCCTTTCCTTGTGGCTTCCCTGGCGGCTCAGACTGTAAAGAGTCCGCCTGCTATGCAGGAGATCTGGGTTCGACCTCTGGGTCGGGAAGATCCTCTGGAGGAGGAAATGGAAACCCACTCCAGTATTCTTGCCTGGAGAATCCCATGGACAGAGGAGCCTGGTGGGCTACAGTCCGTGGGATCACAAAGAGTCAGACACGACTGAGTGACTGAGTACACACACGTACTTTCCACTGACTCTGGCTAGAACAGCAGTCTTCACCTAGCATCTGCTGAGTGTTGCTTTATTGGTTAGTACTGTTTTCTGCTGAGAGACTGGAGTCCCCAGCGGGCATCTATGGGATGCTGCGTTATCCTTAAGGAACTGCCGTCACCCTCCAGGAGCTGCTATTTTTTTTGCAGTAACTAAAGCCGTGGGTTTCTCCAGATTCCAAACTTGCACATTGTTGTGCTTATGCAATGAACTGGTCCTTTCCCTGTTGAGTTACATTTTGTTACAGGTCACATAATAGTGCTAGTTATGGCCCAAGGTTTTGTTGGTATTTTAGTGAAACAGGAAATGCCTCTCCACTCCTATGTTGATGACTGTTACAGGTCAGAGGCACACAGGACTCCTCCTTCCCTGGTGTTTTCTCTCAGAGACTCCTTAATCTCTGTGCAAACTGACTTCAGCCTGCCCACCTCCATTTCTTAGATATGCCCAGACATCTCTAAATTGCAGATTAAGTGCAAATTGGAACTCCTATTACATAAAGATTCTAAGTATATGTGATGGAACTCCAAAATTAACATCTACCTGTAACACAATACCTTTGAGGAAAACACATTATTATTAATCAGTACTTGGTATTTTCCCACAAAGGAAACTTCTTTTGGGGAAATCTACTTTAATAAGTTTCGATCTTGAGAGGGTTGTCTTTTGTTTCACATTCCATGAGCCAGGTGTCTGGAGGTTTATTTCCTCTAGAATTTAAAAAACCTGATCTGTGATATCTGATTCCTCACCACTAGAGGGAGATATTCTTGGTCCCTATTAAAGTGTCAGGATCCACTGACATGATTTTCACAAAAGAGGTTGCTTTAAGACCCACCCTTGGCCCCCTCCCTTATCCGTTTTAGGTCCAACCACCCTTGATTATCAGTATTTGGCCTCTTAAAACTCATATACTCTTGCTCTTTGTGACTTTAATCTGATGGCTGAGAGAACAGCATTACCTGGGCTCAACCAAACCTGTGTTTACTGCTTGGATGCTGTCACTACTTAGCAACTAAACCACCACCATCACCACTGTCAAAGACTGTTGCCAAACAATAGGCAGCACATTCTAGATCTTGGCTTTTTGATGACATTGCTTGGCAGATTTGGTGCCAGAAAATCAACTGACAGAAATCGCTTCCCAATGGTCAGTCAACATGTATATATATATATATATATATATATATATATATATGTATGTATGTATATGTGTGTATATATATATATATGAAAATCTAACATATTATAAACAGATAAGCAGAATGAACACTTTATAAATAATTGTAATATAATTTCTTCTATAAAAATAAATAAGAAACAGCAAATCTGGGGAGAAAGCTTCTCTCATTTCACAATTACTTAAGTATAGCTTCTTCTAGGGTCTAGAGAGATCATTTTTTTAACATGAATCTTGAAAGGATAGAAGAGCTATGGAAGACAATACAGTTAGAAACATTTAGTTACATATTTAGCCTTCACTAGAAATTATTTTAAGTTATCTCATTAGCTTCTTGGAATAGTAGTGTATACATAATTTGAGGAAGGTTCTCCTTTAGCTGTTTTTCTAGAAATGGTCTGTAGACATTCCTGCAGAGATTTTCCTTCCTCCTAAAATTTAGATGAAATTAGTCTGAAACACCATGCCTTATGGAAAAGTCCAATGTCCTTTTTAATACTTTTGTGAACTTCTGGGAGATTTATAATTACATGGACATTTTGGCTCTGCTTTCTAGACCCCCATCCCTGCCATCTTTTGGTTGTTACTTTATCTTTGTCCTGTCATTGACCCAAAGATGCAGTTAAGTACATTTCTTTATTTTTTTTTTTAAAAGAAAAACCAAATAAATACACTCATCCAAAGTCAAGGTGAATGTCAGAGGATTTACTAAAGATTTAGGAAATTGGAAGAGGCTTACGTTTTGAAGAACTCAAATCACATATTAGATACCCATCGCTCTCCTAAATTTTTTTCCAAACTACTAAATTCTTTGACCATGCTCTTTCTCCTCCTCCTCCTTCCCTCTTTTCTTTCTCACTCCCAAATTCCTATATGCATGCGTGCGTGTTCAGTCACTTAAGTCATGTCCAACTCTTTGCAGCCCCATGGACTGTAAGCCCTCCAGACTCCTCTGTCCGTGGGATTCTCCAGGCAAGAATACTGGAGTGAGTTGCCATGCCCTCCTCCAGGGGATCTTCCCAACCCAGGGATCAAACCCACATCTCTTAACATCTCCTACATTAGCAGGCGGGTTCTTTACCACTAGCGCCACCTGAGAAGCCCACAGATTCCTGTATAAGTCCCCATATTTTTATCCCTTTCTCCTGTTGTTCATGCCTCTTGGATCTTCTATACTAAATATTTTCTCAAGATATTTCTGTAAACAAAGCCCAGGAGGAATTCTGGTCCATTGTAAAGCTGTTCATATTCTGACACATGCTTGTACCATATGGCTATCAGAACTGTTCTTTCTATCCAGGCTTTCTCCACCACAATCTTGACTTAAATCTGAGCTGCTTTATTCCAGAGATGATGGCTAGCATGCTGGCTGTAATGTCTCTTGGGGCCAAGACAGCATCGAATATTGGACTAAACACAGAAAATAGGGTGAAGACTTGGGTAGGGTGTGCAGACACATTAATGTGAGATAGTTTACTATTGCACATCTATTCTATAAGGCTCTTCAGTATAATCTTATGGGGTGGGTGGGGGGAAGTCTTGTACAGGGTCCTATGGTTATATCAAGGATTAAAACTCCTGGAGTTAATAAAACCTAATTTGTCCTCCCCTAGGCTGAATGGAGAGAAGAAGTGAAAAAGCACTTTGAGAAGATCAAGAGTGAAGGAACCTGTATCCACCGATTAGATGAAGAACTTATTCGAAGGCGCAGAGAAGAGCTCAGGTCAGCCGACCTCTCCTACTTCCCTTCTTCTTATTCCCAGGTCTTCAGATATTTAACAGGAACCCTTGCAGTGAATCATTTCATCTCCTACACACCTGTCACCTCTGCTGGTTATTGTTATTTTCTTTACAAGTTGCCCTGAAAGTCGGTCCTCCTTTGTATCATGTATCACTTTTTTACTGTCTCCCTGCACCTCTGTTATCTTCCTGTATCGTATCTCTGCAACACAGATCCCTGGAGCAATGCTATTTGTTTATTCAGTTGCTGCCCTAGGTAACATGAAAGATCAGAAATTTATAAGAGGTAGTCCCTGACCCCAAGATGCTTATAATCTATTAAGGGATAGAACACAGATAACCACTAGATTAGACAAGATCTATACCATGGATAAGTATAAATGAGGGATTATCGTTTTAGCTTTAACTGTGTATTTCCCTTAACATGTAGCGTATTCTTAAGATATTGCCAAACAGTGCATGGACAAAGGCTATAAATTATACATAAATTGCACTCAGATTTTACCTCCTGGCTATTCTGTATGAGTGGATATGGCCCTTAACAATCAACTAAGTGGCAAACTTGGACTTCTCATCTCCCACTCCACCTTGTCTGTGTCACTGCATCAGACAAGTGAGCCTTAAATTTAGAGGGCCCTTGGGCAAGTGCTTTTGAGATAAACCATCCGGTTCTTATTTCATTAGAGCTGACTCTGGCTCTCCCCCATATTCATTAGCTTCGCTGCTCCTGTGTTTTCTTTGATAGGCATGCTTTGGATATTCGTGAGCACTATGAGAGGAAACTTGAGCGGGCTAATAATTTGTACATGGAACTGAGTGCCATCATGCTGCAGCTAGAGATGCGGGAGAAGGAGCTCATCAAGTACGTACCTGGACCACTATTTGTCCTGATTGATTTGGGTCTATCAGTCGGCCAAGATGTAATACTCGTCCAGGTTCAGTCGGTTCAGTTCAGTTCAGTCGCTCAGTCGTGTCCAACTCTTTGCGACCCGATGAATCACAGCACGCCAGGCCTCCCTGTCCATCACCAACTCCCGGAGCTTACTCAAACTCATGTCCATCGAGTTGGTGATGCCATCCAGCCATCTCATCCTCATCATCTCATCTCATCCGTCTCATCCAGCCTCTCATCCTCATGTCGTCCCCTTCTCCTCCTGCCCCCAATCCCGCCCAGCATCAGGGTCTTTTCCAATGAGTCAACTCTTCGCATGAGGTGGCTAAAGTATTGGAGTTTCAGCTTCAGCATCAGTCCTTCCAATGAACACCCAGGACTGATCTCCTTTAGGATGGACTGGTTGCCCAGGTTACTGCTACTCAAAACTGGTGACTATGTTATTCATCCACCCAACATTGCTTGGGGGATGTTCCAGGCACAGGTCCCTGCCCTGGTGGGGCTCAATTTGAGTGGAGTCACCACAGAGCTGGTTCTAGGGGACCGTGCACTTTGCAGTTTCAACCTACCTAGTGGCTCAGGGAAGGGGGTCTTCATTTCAGGAGGAGCTTGGTGTGGATAAGTGGGAGCTTACCATCCCCTAGGGAAGAAAAGCAACTGCTGCAAATGGTTCAGTGTTTTCCTGAGAATGGCAAGAAACTCTGGGGTCCTGACTAATAGCAGCTCCTGAAAATAAGTAGGACTTCAACCTTTGCTTGGTATCTCACGAGGCATGTCAGGGGAAGGGAAGGTTGGCCTCCGAGTCCCATCTGCAAGCTGAAGAAAAAAAAATGAAGTCAGGTTAGTCTGAATTTAGTTTTGTTTTTTCTTCCTTTTTAACCTGAAGAGCAGCCTTATTATTCAGATAACCTATATCTGTTCAGTGTGGCCAGACTCTGTGGATGGAGTAAACCTGTGAAAACATTCTGCCCACCTTTTCTGTCTGGGGTGACTGGTTGGTGGTGGTTTAGTCACCAAGTCATGTCCGACTCTTGTGACCCCATGGACTGGAGCCTGCCAGGCTTCTCTGTCCATAGGATTCTCCAGGCAAGACTGAGATGTGGCCTTTTCTTTCATTCTTCAGGCGTGAGCAGGCCGTGGAGAAGAAGTATCCTGGGACCTACAAACGACATCCTGTCCGTCCAATAATCCACCCCAATGCCATGGAGAAGCTCATGAAGAAGAAAGGCATGCCTCACAGACCTGGGATGCAGGCCAAGCGGTGAGCATCTATACTGACACTATTCAGATAAGTGGGGAAGTATTCCCCTAAAATACATTATCAGATGATGGTGAATGTGGCCACATGGTATTGCCTCTGGATACAGAGTAGGGAAGTGGGAGAGAGTATGTCCTGGACTCCCAGAATCCAGTTATTACTGTCTAAGGCATCAATATTTATTATCTTAGCATGGAACAGTGAAGAGAAATGAAGTGGGGGCCAGACAGGCCTGGATTCAAATCCTATTAGAAGCTGTGTGATTTGGAATATGTCGGTTGATCTCTCTCAGTGCCAGTGGTAAAATGGTGTACTTTCCTTTTCTTTTCTTGACCCCCTAGTGCACAGAATTGAGTTTTCTATAATATGCATCATGGGTCTGTATATGTCCCACTTTTATTTATTCATTTACTTAGTTCTTTTTAATAATGTAATAAGTGCCTGTAAATCCACCACCAGAACAAAAGAAGGCACTTTGATAATTACCTATATCTAATCATCTAGTTCCCCTCATCCCACTCCTGTGTGGAACTTTTGTGAGGTTTAAATAAGACACTGTGTGAAATTACCTAGGAAACCACAGTTGTTCCAAAAAAAAAAGTTTTTAACTTTTTTCAAGATGCCCTTTCCCCTAATTACAACACATTTTCCTTGCTAGTTTAATGTTAGAATGCTCTTCTAGTCAGTTTTTTAAGTCTCTGCTAGAGGAATTCCTCCCAATGAATGGAGTGGTGACCCAATCCTAAGTTAATGAAAAAGAAAGAAATGTGCCTTAATCTGCGTGTAAACCCATCAGTGAGATTGGGATAAATGCAGTAAGAATAAAGGTAGTGAGAAAATGCAAACCAAGCATGTATTTTAAGACTTTCAGAACAGTGACCATCCCAGCACAGCCTGACTAATATGAATCTAAACCACTGAGGGATAACTACATGGATTAATCCCAGCTTTGCTTTTACTTACCACGCCTGACCATCTTCTGGTAAGCTCTAGAGAAATTGTTTTCAGTTGGCACCTAGCAAACCCCTCCAGGAATCCTACCACCTCCCTTCTTTTGGTATAGAACTAGGCACAGCCTTCACCTGCTGGCTCTTCTCCGCAGTCTGCCAACAGCTAAAACACCAAGCACTTTGGGAGAAAGTAGTGCTATTTCATTTTTCACAGTATGAGCTCGTGTTTACTTTTATTTCAGTTGTGGAAACGTGTTTGAAAGTTTGACAGCACCAGTAGATGCTTAGTCAATGAGCTGAACTTGTCTAGAAAGGCAACTCAGAGTGGGTACTAGAGCTTCAGAGAGTTATATTGATTGCATTTTGAAGGATTTATGTTTCAGATTATTTGGACAGTCCGGTGATTATCAAGTCAGCAGGCCAGTGCCCTCTGAGGCGATCAGAGAGGAGAAACTATCCACTATCTTTTAGCCTCAGTTTGTGTTTAGTTAGGGACAGGAAAAGATGAACAATGATGGATCCACCAAGCCCATCACAATTGAGTATAGTCTAATAAGATAGTTTAAATGCCTCATAACATGGAGAAGCTTGGAATGGGGGGAGAACTGTTCCTTGGCGTCCAAAGACTTGGCTTCAAGCTGTTCTACCATTTCCTAGGTTTGTGATGGACACAAGCCAACTAACCTCTCTGATCCTCGGTGCTCTCATCTGTAAAATGGGTATTGCAATAGTAGGAAGGTGGTATTTCGTATATTGTGAAGTGCTTTGTAAACTTGGAAGTGCTGTATCAGTGTTATTCTGTGATTTTGCACTGCCAGGTTGAGCAGCAACTGTCTTAGAACACTTTCACCTAAGTTCTCTATTAGTTCCTGCCATAACCAGTTACTGCATAAATATTGATAGATGCCCTCACTGGGCCTTGGAGGGCTCTCTCCTCAGTAGGGAGCCCCAGAACCTCCCCAGATGCTGTCTGTGGCACAGGTTGGCAAACTGACCACAGGGCTGCGAATCTGAGACAGGAAGATGTTGATAACCCCACAGTACCCTATCTACCTCATCATATACTGGTGACACCTGGAACTTCTGTACTAAGACAAGTCTTTAACTGAACTTCTCCTGGAAGAGAAGAAAAAACCATCTCCTACTGCCTGATGCCTACTGATTTGCTGTGAGGCCTGGTTCTTCAAAATGTGGTCCTCAGTTGAGATCATCTGAAAGCATGTTAGAAAGGCAGGCTTTGAGGTCCCATCCCAGACCTATGCAGTCATTTTAACAAGCTCCCAGGTGATCTGTACATACCTTCAGGCTGTACTCTGACTGTCCAACAAGCCAGACTGGCAATTAGGAGAGACTGTTTGTATAGATTCTACCAGTAATGAGCTGTGAGACCAGGAGCCAATATGGTCTGGGTTTGGCTTCCTCATCACATAGGATGAAGGCAGGACTGCACCTGCAGTTTCCCTGCAAGGTCTGGGACCCCCTGGGGCCTGAATAGAGGTGTCTTTGAGACCGCTGTGAGGGGAGAGAGGATGAGGAGCCAGAGCCTTGTTGGGGGTGGCAGGGGCTTCTGCTTTCCTACCTCTCTTCAGCTGTTCTGGGTTTGGGATTTTTAAGATGAAATTGACATATACCATTATATTAATTTCACGTGTATGGCATAATGATTCAACATACGTATATATTGCAAAATGATCACCACAATAAGTTCAGTTAACATCCATCACCATACATAGTTACAAATTTTTTTCTTGTGATGAGAACTTTTAAGATTTACTCTCCTGTGCATGCATACTTGCATGCTAAATCGCTTCAGTTGTGTCCAACTCTTTGTGACCCTGTGGACTATAGCCCACCAGTAGATCCTCTGTCCATGGGATTCTTCAGGCAAGAATACTGCAGTGGGTTGCCATGCCTTCCTCCAGGGCATTTTCCCTACCCAGGAATCAAACCCACATCTCCTGCATTGGCAGGTAGGTTCTTTACCACTAGCATCACCTGGGAAGCCCCATTTACTCTTAGCAACTTTCAAATACACAACAGAGTATTGTTAACCTCAGTTACCATGCTGTTACATCCCGTGACTTATTTGTATCATAATTGGAAGTTGGTACTTTTTGATCCCCTTCACCCATATCGCCCACCCCCTAAGTCCCGTCACCCCACCTCTGGCAACCACCAGACCTGGGATACATTTCCTCAAACCTGAATGAGTTTTCATATGTTTAAAACCAAACCTGTTCTTTCCTTGCAGGCCAGATCTGTTGAGATCTGAAGGCATCCCCAGTGTGGAAGTGGCTCCCACGGCATCCCCTTTATCCGGAAGTCCCAAACTGTCCTCCTCCAGCAGCAAGAGCCGATATCGGAGCAAACCACGCCACCGACGCGGAAACAGCCGAGGCAGCCACAGTGACTTTGCGGCCATCTTGAAAAACCAGCCATCCCAGGAGGATTCACCCCATCCCGCTTCCCTCCACCAAGCTGAGCCCCAGTACCCTTCTCCCCAGCACCATAATCCTCTGCAGCAGCAATACCAGCAGCCCCCACCTGCCGTGTCGCAGAGTCATCATCCCAGACTCAATATGCACGGACAGGACATTGCCACCTGCGCCAACAACCTGAGGTACTTTGGCCCCGCAGCAGCCCTGCGGAGCCCACTCAGCAACCACGCTCAAAGACAGATGCCTGGCTCTAGCCCTGACCTCATCTCCACGGCCATGGCGGCAGATTGTTGGAGAAGTTCTGAGCCTGACAAGGGCCAGGCTGGCCCCTGGGGCTGTTGTCAGGCTGACCCCTATGACCCCTGCCTTCAGTGCAGGCCAGAACAGCATGGGTCCCTAGACGTCCCCTCGGCCGAGCCGGTGGGGAGGAGCCCCAACCTTTTCAAGCCACCAGCACACAATCCCCTCTCAGAAAATGCCCAGGGTTCTAAGAAAATGGAAGAAAATGAATTCAGCGGTTGTCGGTCTGCATCATCCCTTGGCGCCTCTCATCACATCACTCCCCCAGTGCTACCTCGCAAAACAAGGCCACTTCAGAAGGTAAGGTATAATGACACACAGCAGCCGTGTGTCACTGCCTTTGAGGAATATTGAAGCCTATTATATGCTATGCATTATAGAATGTATATAGAAAGTATGCATTTTGTAAAAGGATGAGATAACAAAAGCACAAATAGCAGTATTTTTGCTTTTAATACTTTCCACACTGCTTAGGTGATAGACTAAAGAATACAACTCCTGAATCAGGGCAATGATTCAAGTACATATAATTTATAAGTAGAAAAATAGCTGTATATTAAGGCTACGTAATCAAAATAGGTTGGAATCCACTATCTTAGCCTAGTCCTAAGGATGTTGCAAGAAGGAAGGATCCCATTATAAAACAGATTTGGGAAACAAAACCATATCTTTCCTTCCCTCTCGGAGATTCCTAAGTACACGTTTAACAAATCCTAGGCTTTGAGAAATAGTGCAGTAACCTCCTTTAAGCCAGTGTTTCCCTCACCTATTTGACCATACTGCCTTTTAAAAATAACATTTATTCACCCCCATAGAACTCACTTTCTTCCCAGTATATTTTAGAAAAACATCACCTTCATTATTAACCATAAAGACCCAGCCAGTTCTCAGTCACTGAAATCTATTCCTTTCCTCCTCACCCACTGGCTATCTGTGGTTTATTAGCTGGGAGGCCGACTAACTCTCCTACCTCATGTAAGAGCACAAGCTTGATAGTCAGACCTGAGTTCAAAGCCAGGCTCTTCCACTTAGTACCTTTCTGAGCATCGGTTTCTAATCTATAAAACGGGGCTAGTAGTGGACCCTGCCTCACTGACTGATGTGAAGATTAAATGAGTTAATACGTAAAGAATTTAGAATCTGGCATACAGCAACATTCCAAAAATATGAGCTCATCTTGCTAATGAGTTAAAAATAACACTATATAAGTGTTTAGCACATAGAAAACACCCACCCAGTTCTAACCGTCGTTTCACATCATCTTCATTCATCGGGAGTTCTGTTGAAGTAAGGAAAGTGTCTGAAATGCAAATGAGCATGTTTTGGTCAACTAGACATTTCCTAGGAAAGAAGCTGAGGGCCACTGTCTCAGCTTTGAGACAGTGCTTCTTCCTCCACACACAATGCTGCTACTTACTGAGAATTCCCAGGGATACATCGTGTTTCAGGTAGTGCAGTGGATTTGGGCTAATTCATTCTCTACAGCTCTGACCCCTGTGGCTAGTAACATATATTTTGGTAGCATCTTTATTAAGATATAATTCACTTACCATACAGTTCTCTCATTTAAAGTGTACAACTCAGTTCTTTCTATTCAGAGTTGTGCCGCTATCAGCACAACTGACTTTAGAATCTTTTCATCACCCCCAGAAGAAACCCATCAGCCCACACTCCCCAGTCCACTTCCAAGTAACATGTATCTTTGAACTCTTCTGGTGCCATTTTGAGGCATCTGTGGATCTGCAGGCCACGGAACACACTGCTCACACATTTGGCCTCCCTAGAACCATGCTCCCACAGGGTAGCTCAACCTCTCTCTGCTGAGATCCGCTCCCAGGAGTGCTCTAGGGGGACCTGCTTGTCTTCACAGGCAGAATAACTCCATCCCTGTCTTCCCTATTCAAAACACATATCAGGAGACAAATGGGTAAAAGTGATAGATTATTAGAACAGACTTTAAAAATAAATTATCCGTCCAACTTCCCTGATGGTCCAGTGGTTAAGACTTAGCCTTCCAACACAGGTGGTGCAGGTTTGATCCCTGGTCAGGGAGTTATGATCCTGCATGCCTCATGGCCAAAAAAATGAAACATAAACAACAGAAGTGATTGTGTAACAAATTATGCTCAATTTTTGGTACAGTTATTTGGACCCACTTTACTCACCTCCCAAGGGATTGTTGTAATCCTGTGCATCATGGTGCTGTGGTTATTGATGGTTGATCTTAAGTGGGGCTGTTCCTGTGCCCTGGAAGGGAAATAGAATCTTCCCTCAAGGGAAGATTGTGTTCTTAGATAAGACACTTACACACCCTTCCAGATCAAGCACAGAGCCCAAGCAGTGATGGGGCCTCAGATGTCCCAACCAGGACTCTCTTACCCATGCCTATGTGCTGACTCATTCATATATTAAGCATCTACTTTGTATGCAGTGTTGTGTTAATGGTAGAGGAGGAATACAACAGAACAAGATGGGATCTGACCTTAAATGATGTATGTCTTAGTAGTAGAGATGATGTAAGCATAATAGCTATAATACTAGGGGAAAAGTGATTGTTACATAAAGAGGGGAAGTAGTTGTTGGGCTTTGAAGAACTGAAAGATCACCTCTTGTTGAAGTCTCTATGTCAGAGCCTAGACTAAACCACTAGTGACAGTGGTTACAAGAGAACACCCCCAAATCTAAGACCTCTTCTCTAGTTTCCCCTCCTGATTACTCACCTGTGGATATTCTCATGGAAGCTTCACCTCCCTGAGGGCAAAGATAACCCAGCCTTACCCAGTTCTATACATCCTCCAGCATCTAGTGCAAGGCCTAGATGGACACCCAGGAAAGGTTGCTATATGAATGAATGAAGAGGTATGCTTTTAAAAATGACACTTAGCAAGCTACCTCTCGGTGCCTCTGATGATAATTAAATCTTTTGCAGGGTCTCTGTGTGCATATATGTGTGTGTGAATGTAAGAAAGAGATATAAGACTCTTTTCTCCTTGTTCTCAGAGTGGAGATGACTCCTCTGAAGAGGAAGAAGGGGAAGTAGATAGTGAAGTTGAATTTCCACGAAGACAGAGGTAAAACCAATAAACCCATGTGATTGCTCTCAGTGTAAGCAGGGAAAATCCTGAGTTTACCATACCTCCAGTTCCACAACAGGCCACTTTGTAACAGCTACTTATAGGCAAGTTTGGACCTAGTGTTCATGGTTTCCTGTTGGCCATTTTGGTAGCTGGCTATGCACTGCAGATCCTAGTTTATCCAAATTCACTAGATAAGAACTGAAAGATGGGGAAAATGAATATGACTCAAGGTTACAATTGAGAATATAGTGGGCAGTTTATGAGAGATGGCTGTCCTGTTTTATGGGTAATTTTATTGGTTTCTAGTGTACCTCCTTGTATTAGTCTGCCCAGGCTGCTGTAACAAAATACCACAGACTAGGTGGCTTAAACAAAAGAAATTTATCCCAATTCTGTAGCTGGGAAGTCCAAGATTCCTGGTGAAAACTCTCTTCCTGGCTTGCAGACAGCAGCCTTCCTGCTATGTCCTCACATGCTAGGGGAGAGAGAAAGAGCATGAGAGATCTTCATCTTCTTATAAGGCCACAGTCCTATCAGATTAGGGCCCCACCCATATGACCTCATTTAACCTTAATGAAATGACTGAGCGCATACGCACACCTCCTAAAGACCCCATCTCCAAATTCAGTCACATTGTAGATAAGGCTTCAACATATAAATTTGGAGAGGATACAATTTAATCCATAGCACTTCCCATGCCTTGGATTTTATACCTTACCAGGTTAAGTATAGTTAAATGAGTTGATCCTCCTTCAGCCCATCCTTAGAAACAGCTCCTGCCTAGCCAGCAATAAGAACTTTGCTTGTAGGACCAAAGAAGCAGCACACACCCCTACCTCTAGAATTAACAGCTGCTGTCATGTAGAAGTATGGAAGGGAGTTTTCCTCCCAGGAGGCCTTTTCTGCTGATAGGCATTCTGTTCCTGAAGAGGAAGACTGTAAGAATCCCCCAAGAAGGTTTGTGCACCTGCCCAGACCAGGAATTTCCTGAGACCAAGGGACTCTGCATACTTGAGTAGATTGTATTCTGGGCCCATATGCCATGCACAAAATTGAAGTCTGTTCTCACCCCTGAGTTATTCCTACCACATTGCCGTTGCTACCTTGTTTCCTTGGACACTATGTTTTCTCCTCTGCAGTGAGATTGAGCCTGGATAGCTGTCTTTTCATCCTCTGACCCCATTTTACGGGCATCACAATTACTTCCAACATCTGTTCCTTTGGTCACCATTAACTCAGCCCACCTGATGGCTTCCCACCTTTCTTTCTTGCTGTGATACAGATTTTGTTTTTAACCTCATGATTTTGCTTCCCCTGTCTCCCTCCTGGGTTACCAGCCTTGAGAAGCTGTGTGAGTCCTGCCTTAACTTCCCTTTCCCACCTGGGCTTCCTCCATCTGGATCCTTGATGCTATCACTCCAGCCCATCACCTGGCCTGGTCATCAGCCAACCTCAGATCACAGGCTATCGGAATCGCTTTGTACTAAGAAATACAGGAAGGTCAAGCAATGACAGAGGGAGAGGCAGTCTTCATTTTTATTATTTGTTTTGTTATTTTAAGACAGTGTAAGCTAACAGCATTCTTATTTACTAGGCTCCTTTGTAAACAATGGGAGAGAAATGAGGAATTTTTGTAAATCCCCTCCCCCCTCCCCAGAAACTGTCTCTCGTCAGAGCTAAACCCCGACTTTACCTGGAATGAGCACCTACTGCTGGAGAGTGCCCACAGCTAGAGTCAACGTTCCTTCCAAGCTCATTTCTGTTAGGGGTTGATCCACAGGGCGGTAACAGCACTCAGCCTTCCGAGGCCCCTGTACCCAGTGAGAAATGTACCGCCAAAGACCAGCGGTAGCCATCAGCTTTGGGGCGTTGCGTGGAGCCACATAAGCATAGAAAACCAAATGAAAGGGGGAATGCAGATTTCCCTCTCTGTTGCTTTAAATAGTTTCTACCTTTCTGGATTTGGCTCTCCCTCCAGGGCAAGCAGAAAACTAGATCACCTCCCACCAAGGCTGCGACCAACAGACAGGAAAAACAGCTGTTCCCAGGACTAAGTTCCTCTGGTTCTTTGTGGTTCTAGGCCCCATCGCTGTATCAGCAGCTGCCAGTCGTATTCCACCTTTAGCTCTGAGAATTTCTCTGTGTCTGATGGTGAGGAAGGAAATACCAGTGACCACTCAAACAGTCCTGATGAGTTAGCAGATAAACTCGAAGACCGCCTGGCAGAGAAGCTCGATGACCTGCTGTCCCAGACGCCGGAGATCCCCATTGAGATATCCTCGCATTCGGATGGGCTCTCTGACAAGGAGTGTGCCGTGCGCCGCGTGAAAACACAGATGTCTCTGGGCAAGCTGTGTGCGGAGGAACGTGGCTATGAGGTGGGGTCTTCGCCTCTCTTCTCCTCTCGTCACTGTCCCCTTTCCTGGAGGTCTTTGTGTTAGAACATGCTCAAGTCCCTACGGCCTTTACAATTATGGAGAAAGGCATGGCAACCCACTCCAGTATTGTTGCCTGGAGAATCCCATGGACAGATGAGCCTGGCGGGCTACAGTCCATGGGGTCGCAAAGAGTCAGACACAACTGAGTGACTAACACACACACATATAGGATAAAATAACTTCCTCTATGAAGTAAGTAGAAGTATAGTAAGTCTCCTATATATGAACCTTTAAGTTGCCAACTTTCATGTTTGCATGTCCAGTCACTTAAGTTGTTTCCTGTGTCTGGCGTACATTGTCATGTGTGTGCATCCTTCTCCTAGTGGTTGTGCTTTTGTGTAACTTTACAGCACTATATAGAGTACTGTGGTACAGTATCAATATTTCAAGCCCAGGATGTCTGGAAACAAGCATAAAAACAGCAGTGATATAGCTGGTATTACTGTACTTTGCAGGGTACTGTACTATGTTTGTGTGTTGGTTTTTTATGTATTATTCATGTGAAAAGTATTATAAACCTATTACAGTACAGTACTATATAGCTAATTGTTTTAGTTGGGTACTTAAGCTAACTTGGTTGGACTTAATGAACAAATTGGACTTACAAATGTGCCCTGAGAACAGAACTCATTTGTATGTAGGGGACTTACTACAGAGATAATAGAGCTTCCCACAATGGGGTAGTTCTCCCAAATGAAGCACAAACATAAAACTGCTCAGGAACCCTTCACCCTGAGATTCAACTCAAGCATCACTTCTGACCCCATCTCCCAACCTAGCTGAGGGTATCTGTGTCCCTCCCCCAGGTCCGCACTAGCCCCCTACGTGCTGTCAGAGCACTTGTACCACTTCAGTTAACATACAGTACTGCCTTCTCAGAGGATGGGTCACATCATGCTTGGCAGTGTAGACCCTGGAGTCTGACTGCCTAGATGCCAACCTTAGCCTTTCCACTCACTCATCGAGTGATGGGCGGCAAGCCACTTAACCTCTCTGTAGGTCAGCTCCCTTATCCCATATACAGGCATGATAACAGCCTCTATTTCACAGAGGATTTAATGGGTGTTAAAGCACTCACAGCAGTGTCTGGAACATAGTGAACAATGTATGTGGGGCTGTGGTGCACTATTTTCACTGTCTTCTTCATCATTGTCATCATCATCTTTCTAAGTCTTCTTTTTCCATAAGCCCCACAAGGACAGGGTCTGGTCTCATGTATGTTAGCCAGTAACCCAGCACAGGACCTGTCACATGGGAGGTGTTCAAAATACATTTACTGAGTAATTGGAGAAAGGAATTAAGGTCTTATGTTGTCTTGACTTTGCAGAATCCTATGCAGTTTGAAGAATCGGACTGTGACTCTTCAGATGGGGAGTGTTCTGATGCCACAGTCAGGACCAATAAGCACTACAGCTCTGCTACCTGGTAATGAAAGAACACCCACCCTGAAGATCATGACTATACTGGCATTTCAAATTCACCCCACCCCCAGACTCTTCCCACTCTCTCCCTGCTTTTTTGTCTGGGAGGAGAGCTGCCCCATCTTTCTTACCCCTAGAAATGAGCTGCAATAACAGGAACATGAGACTTCGCAAATCTCTGGAGAAAAATATCCAAATGAAATTAAGTCTCACTGAACATTTCAATCAAGAATGGCAGGGATCTATTTTATTGAATATTCTAGCTACTGTAACATTGATATTTATTTTTGACATTTTAACACTTTGTACTGTAAAGAGTGAACTATATATGATAGAGAAAAAGACAATAATTTCTTGCAGAAAAAAAAAAAAAGAGAGCGAGCGAAAGGAGGAAAGAAAAAAAGTGAAATTTAGGAGCAACATCCTTGGGAGTTTGTGGGACCAGGAGGTATTATTGCTACTTGAACAGGGGACCAGTTCTTTTGGCCATAAGTGACTGAAGAAGAGCCAAAGCAAGACATACTGAGCATTTTAGAAAACAAAGAGCAGCAAAAGAAAAGCAATTCCAGGTAACTTGTGAACAGACCACACTAAATTCAACCAGCTTGTCCAGATGGGTGATGCAAAGACCTAGGAAAGTTTGGCGACCAGGTATTTGTATCCAGGGTCTTTGATGGCATGTGTTCAAAACTGTGTATGTGGAAGCTGATCTTTTTAAAAAAAATTTAAGCAGCATTTGGTAGTGAGACTTAGAGATAGTGTCCAACCTTGTCCTTGACAAATATTCTGCTTTTTAATGCTGTCAGTATCATGACCTTGGCGAGTGTGTTACTTTGACCAATGTGTTGATTTTTCAGACTTGAGTGCCATTTTCCTGTATCCTACTTCCTTCCCACCTGTTGACTATTTCTTTTAGGGGAGAAGGGGGGCAGGGGAGAGAGAGCCCGCGGAAGAGAGAGGATAAGACAACAGTGTTGGAAAAGCAAATGTGCAATCTGTGAAAGGACATTCACAGAAGGTCTCAGTTTAACTACGTGGAGAAGATGGGAATCACCCCTCCATGGGACCAGGTTGTTTGTCTTCTAGAGTTTTATTGACTTAAATGGAACAGTCTTGGAAGGCAGCTAGGAGGTGTGTGAGTCTGCCCAATGTCCAGTCCCAGACCACACCCCATGTTTGTATTAACTCATTCTAAACCCAGAAGCTTTCGTGAGTGACTGCCACTATCAGAATAAAGGCAAAACAGGCAATTTGCAAAAGGCAACCCCTCCCCCACCATGATAGCATTTCTGTTAAATGCTACTTGTAAAATGTATTTGGCTCCATGCAATTTTGAATAATTTGATTTGGAAATTCATAGAAAGAACAACTGATGCTAAGCAGAGATTGGAAAGATTTTGTATTGTCCAAGGCCTGACGTCCTTTCTGTCCCCAGGATCATGGGCTCTGAGAAACAAACCAAGGTATCTCATGGTGCCTCAGCTTTAAGGAAATTTTAATCTAGAATTTGATATAAAAACAGATGTTGGCCTAGATTCTGTCTCCAAGATTAGTCACTGCCAAACACCCTTTCTAGGCTCAAGACCTAGAGAGGATGGTTTAAACGCTTTGACACTGCATCGGATTGGACATCAGGCAAGACTTACACACACAGATATTAAACCATTTCCAATACAGGTGAAAGCATCGCCCTCCTCCAAGTGTCACTGATTGCATCGGCCAAAAAGCAAAAGCAGGAGGGAATTTAGAGCAATTCCTTTTGCTTGTTTGATCCCTCAGTTTGTTTACACTTTATGTTGAGACATTGATTTAAAATTTAGTGTCTATAATTTATAGCTCTTAGGTAGGATGAAGGAAAATGTTTAACTTATACAGAGAGCAGTATTGTTTCATTAAATTATTCCATTTTGTATGAATTCTGTAGCTGGACTACATGAAAGATCTTAAGTTATGGCATTATTATCATTGTTATTTTATTTTATAATAATTATTATCCTTCTCATTTTCTGTCGATCAGAAGGTGCGGTTTATGGTGTAGCACAGTGATTGTGTTGATTGCTAACCATGAGTTATTACGGATTTTTATGAAGGAATGAAAATGGAACTGCCGTGTGGGAGCTCCCTGGTATTCGTCTTAGCTGTATTCCCTCATTTTCTGTGTACAACAACAATCATCTGAGGATGCGGGTACTGCCCTGAGGCCCAGTGGTTAACGCTGTGATTTTGACTTGATCACAAAAGCTCCTAGGTGGGCAGATGACTGAGTGGTGGACAAAGTTCCAAAGCTGTACACTTTCTCAAGTTTCTTAAGAAATAAAATCATGTGATCCATTAGAAGCACAAGAGAATTATTTAATGCCCTGAGAGAAACAGTCCTACAGGGAACCTGCCTGGGGCCTGTGGGATAGATAGTTTCAAGAACTGGCAACACGGTTTGTAATCTCCTTCCTGCTAAATCCCATCAAACCAACCTTTTTTCCTCCTAGTTAGGAGACTAAAAAAACAGAAATAGATGGCATGACCAAAAAAAAGAAAATGCCTAGCTGTGGTGATGATTAGAAAAGTTCTAGCCTGAGGCCTAGTCTGTTAGTCACAGAGCTGGAAAGGCACCTTTTAAAGCCCGTATTTTTCATCCTCTGACTTCAGACAACACTGTACTGTGAATCTCTCTGGCTCATTACTTCTGAGAACAGAGAGGCTACAACTCTGTGTCCTCTTTCTGTCCAACATAAAACACTGACCCTTCAGCTTGTCCAAGCCTAGCCCACCTATAGTGGCCAAAGAGAAACATGAAGGTCAGCGTGTCTTATCCCTTTCAATGATGATCTTCCTGGAAAATCCACTCCAATACCTCATCATTTTGATACCTTTTGAATTCCCATCTGGACTGTCTGTCATGATAATGCCATATATCTAACTGGATTGACTGTTAAGAGCATGTTAGGGCCACAGACAGTGTTGAATCTTCAAGTCATTCACTGTATGGTCAAGAGCTGAATAAAGTTCCACATTGAACATTTTACTTATTTTCTTTAGTAGAAGTGACTATAGAGGCTTCAGAGAAGAACAGTGTCTTTAGAGAAATACCTTCTCTATCCCAGGCCGCCCTTCACTGCCTGCTTTGAAGTAACCAGGACAGTTTTGAATTGGTGTGTGTTTCTTTGAGAACAACTCCACAGTCATCTGAAGAGTGTGGAATGAAGAGCTCAGGGAATTTTAAGAGCTAATTCTTCAGTTTGACAACTGGGCAAGAGCACTTTAAGGAAACTTCCAGGACTATGATTTCAAGCTTCAGTGTCGATCAAAAGTTTAACCCCCTTGGGATGAATTCCACATTCATTTAGCATCTGGTTTTGACTGACTGCAAGATAATGAGTTTTAATTTGTGTTGCAGATGAGCATTTGATTCTGATTCGCATCTATTTCTAGATCATGTCCTCTGAACAACAATTCCTCTTAAAATTGCTTAGCAGAGGGACTGAGAAGCCTGCATCCCCTTTGAAGTTATAATAGACCTTACCACTGCTAAAGCCTGCATCTCCTTTGAAGTTAAAATAGACTTTACCACTGCTAAAGTTTAGATCTGTTTGTTAGATTGTGGCAAACACCTTCCCAGGGAGGTGAAGAGCTAGCTAGCTGTGTTGTAAGATGGTTTGGTATGACCTACTTGAAGTTTAGATATTTAAAAACTTTGGTATCAACAAATCCATCCTTCTAGAATTAAGGATATTTTTAGTTGGATTTAATTAGTACACTGGAGTTCCATTTCAGGACCTCATTGTACTGAATTTGCCTCTTATCCAAGTAATAATAGACTTGATGGTTTGGGGTTTTCTTGGTACAACCTAATTTTAAATGCCCTCTCCCACTGTGGAGCACTGATTTTTTTTTTCCAGTGTGAATGTATCCTTATTGATCAAAAGATTTACCTTTTTCTTCCATGCCCTTATGTCTCACTCTCCACCCCCTTTTCTTAAAATGTTTCTACTTGAACTTCTTGCAACTGAATTCCATAAATCCCAAGGAATTCCTGCCGTGCTCTGCTCATAGTAGAGTTTGCTAAGTTGTGTTTCATTTTTCTATCAAGCCAGAAACCAGAATACCACCACATACCACCATCTACTATCTTCACCCTTGATATCCCAAACTATGTTATTGATTGATCACCATATTCTTTCCTGCTGAAGCTGGACACACCCTCCGAACTTCTCACAATACAGCACTTGGAGCAATAATTACCACTTGATTGGAACTGGTGTGCAAGGGGAGATCTATTTGCTGTCCCAGCCTTAGCCTCATAACTTCCTAAGGTGGTTTGAGATCTTGAGTTAGCCCACATGGGAGAATGACGGGATGTACCAGTATTCTGCTTATAGGTCCCATCCTGTGGCCAGGGGGGCAGCATGAAAGGCAGGAAAAAGGCTCCATGCCTTCACCCACTGCCCCTTTGGTGTATGATTGCAATTGAATTCCACAATGTCTCCTCATTTACATCACTTCATTGTGTTAAATGAGTCTGTTCCTCACCACCTTCTATAAACAGAGGGTTAATGAAGAAGTCCCAGTTGCTTGCTTCTTCCTTAGATTCTGTGAGACTGAGATACCAAAATGATGTGACATCCTTTTTAAGACTTTTGAATTGTTCTGTCAGTGTGAATTTAGTGCCTTTCTAGGCAGCAAGAATTTTCTTCATTGCTGATTTCATAGAAAAAATGCCCTAATATACTCACACCGCCAGTGTTACCAACATATACAGACTAGCACAGAAGAAATCACATTAGTCTGCCTGTTTGCACGTTACAGCCAGTACTGCAGCACCTGTTCAAACTGGAGCAGACTAGACTGCCAGGTGGAGGACCTTTGTAGGAACTGGAACACTTCTCAGAACAGGTGCCAGAGAGGAGAGCTCACTGTTCTGAGAAACGGGGTCACCCAAAAGGAGTTGGGTGAAGGCTTCCCTGTCACGTGACCAGAGCACACGGGCAGAACTTCACACAGAGCCAAGTCCCCCGGCAGACAGCAAGGCCACTGTAAGGGAAGTGCTAGTACTAGTCGCTCAGTCATGTCCGACTCTTTGTGACCTCATGGACTGTCCGTGAAATTCTCCAGGCAAGAATACTGGAGTGGGTTGCCATTTCCTTCTCCAGGGGCTCTTCCCGACCCAGGGATTGAACCCAGGTCTCCTGCACTGCAGGCAGATCTTTTCCATCTGGGCCACCAGAAAAGGTCCTGTAAGGAGACTCCCAGCCAAGTCCCAGGCCTGCTCTCCAGAGCCACTTCACAGCACTCGGGGGAACACTGGCTCCTGGCCCTAGGCTGCTGCCTGGTGACCAGGCAGATGGGGCCCTCCAGGGGCTGCAGGTCAGAGGGAACCCCCCAGAAGGTGCAGGCTAATAGGAAGATGTCCCTATTGACTGTGTCACCCAGGGAGCTCGCTCCCTCCAAAGTGCCCACTTCTCAGGTTCTGGAAGTGTGACAACCCACTTGGATTCTTGATTGCAATAAAATGTGAGCTCAATTTGAAGTGGATTAACTTCTTTTTTTGTAGTCAAGTCTCAAAATTAACTCCCTCATCTGCGTCCTCTGTGGTCTCCGGTCCTGTTAGCTCTCCTGCTCCTTGTGCAGGTTCTGATGCCGGCTCTCCCTCTTTGTATAGAGCAAGTGTACAGTGATGGGAACAAGAGCGACTATCAAAGCAAACAAATGCATGGAATTAAACAAAAAGTGTACTTCACTGTTTTCTGTCCTGTCTTAATTCCTTAAGGGCTGCTTGTGTCCCGAGAGCTACCTTCACAAGTTTTACAATTTGTCAGGGAAAGGAAAACTTTACACGACTGGGTTTCCTGCAGCCCGGAAAAATAGGTGGTGAGAAAAGCTGGTTTCTGTGGCATTTTCATCAGACACATCCACAGAAAGAAGAGATGACCATCATTGTGTTATTGTCTCTTCGTGATTATTCTGTCACATCCGAGACAGGCATTCTCCTTCCCCACAGCTTTCCTGCTGCCCACCTTGCAGCTACTTCTCTGGTATGAGAACCCAACTCTCAAATGCACCTAAGAGGAAAAAGGCAAAAGTGAAAATCTTCCAGTGCATACGACTGGTGAGAAACCTGAGAGCAGAAAGCTAAGACAACACATTGGATTGTCTGATTTCAGCCAATCACGATTCCCACTGGCAGTTAGCAACCTGCACAAGCACACAGAATACATATATCCATTTATTTGGGAAACTGCTTTGCCTGTAAAGTCACAACTGCTAAGGCACATTGTTGCGAAGTCAAGGGGGAGGAAGGAGAGAGACAAACCCAAGGATCCAGGTAAAGGGCAAAGGGCACACGCTTTCAGCAGTGCAGAGAGCTTCCGGCGTCTCCCCTCCCTCCTACCACAGAGCTTCACAAAGAGCCATGGATTTCCAAGTCCAGTTGGTATCCTCTTCATGCCCATTCTTGTTCTCAAGCTTCTTTTAAAGCAACACATGCTTAAAAATGAAGTCCTTGTTATGTTTTTTTGGATTATACTATGTCCAAAAAACACTGCTTGGGAATTCATTCTTTATAGTGAACAAGTATTCCCAAGAATTCGTGTAGAACAACTGATCTGCATTAAGCCTTGGCAAGATTCTTGGCCAAGTCAAATCAAAAGCCAGCAGATGGTGCCCAAGGGCAAGAGTTCTGATAAGAAATGATGACTTACTCCTTTGGGGCACAGGATCCCAGAGCTGGTCATTTTAGGTGCCAATGTCGTTTGTCCTTGGAACTGAATTGATCTGTGCCAATTACAATACTACAGCTATAGAAAGCAGACAGCTACAGATTCATTAAAACACAACACAACAAAGTAATCCAAAGCAAAGCTTTCTCCTTGAATTCCCCTGAATTGAAAGATAAAACAATTATCCCTCAGTTATTTTCAGGAAATGAAAAAAAGCATTTGGAGGGCACGCAGGCTGGTACCTGTGTACCAGCTGGTACCATGTACTGAGTCCATCTCCCAGCAAGACAGAGGAGGCATTCTCACACAGAAAGGACAGACTAGAAAAAAGGTACTGATGGTCATTTGGTTCAAGTGAGTTGAGGGCTCTGCACATTCAGATGGGTAAGCACTTCTCCAGAACATATTCATAACATACAGTGAGCTCCACTGATATTTAATAGTCCAATTGCAATCAGCTGAATTGTCTGGACATGCAACCAAGAGGAGATGTGACATATGCGGTAATATCAGTGCATCTGAACACAAAGAGCATCACAGCAATCACTGTGCTTTGGAGCTGTACATGGAAATTGTATGCAGTTTGTCAGCTTGTTTCCCTTGATTAATGCAAGAGGTAGGTCATCAGCAAAATAAAAAAACAAAAAAACGTGTACTGAAGAAACACTCTTCAGGAGACTAACAGAAAGTGTGGTGTCAGTGATGTGGGTTCACGTCATTAATCTACACTTAGCTTGTCCACAAGGGACATAAAAAGATAAAACCTGTCACGACAGCCAATCCCTGCACGGAAGAGGCACGCCAGACAAGGGCCGTCAGCATCCTCTCCCAAGACAGCTCAGGGCTTGGCAAGAGGCAAGTATGACACACTACCCTGAGTTCCTTGTTATTCAATAAAATACAAACAGGATTTCCTGGGAGGCCATCCATTTTGCAGTGTCTTGCTAAATCTTGGTTGGTTTGAGAACCTGATACGATTCACCTTCCAGAGCAGTGTCCTTCGTGACAGGACAGAGCACACAGAAGAATAGTGTCCAGATCACCTACTGAGAATAATTTAAAAACAATGAGGAGCTTCAGAGGACCACATCCATCACATACATAAGCAACAGAGTCCAGGGAGATAGCAGCCAAGGGACCGAGATCACGTGACCTTCCTACTATTCAGAGAGTGAGCATTGCTTGTTTCTTTCAAACGTAGGTCTTTCTGACTAAATTTTTTAATGAGGGTTCCAGGAACTAAGGCCACCAGGGCAATGGCCAGCAGTTTAAAGGCAGTTTCCCAGGAGAAAAGAGCATCCAGAGAAGTGAGGGTGGACAGGATGGAGCCCGTCTGCACACAGATGAAATTATATGGGATCAAACCTGGAGGAAGAAAAGGGAAATCCTGTTACTCTGGGACGGGAAAACGAAGACCAGCAGTGCTTCAGAAAGGTCACCAGTAATTCACAACAGTGACTCCAGTTTCGTATGTGACTTCTGTGCAATTCTGACTGCTAAATATGTCCTCTTTCCCTTCTTCTCTTCCATTCCTTCCCCTCCTTTCCTTGCTTCCCACATACATTTGCCTCATTAAACAAAAGGACTTGAGATGGTTTGCAATATATATATATATATATACACAATAACATTTAAACATTTTTTTAAATAGGGGAAAACAAAACAAGAATACAACAAAATGAGTGAAGAATAAACAAATTAAGGCAAAAATGCAGAAAGTTCACTCATTTGCTAGAAGTGTCCCCAGATTTGGTTCCGAGTACCCAACAGCCCAAGCAAAGAGCAGCACCAGCATTATGAGTTGTGCAGTATGCCCAAGATAAAAACAAGTTTCTTAGAAGTAGTAGTACTACTTCATACTCTGTATTGTCTGTAAGAAGTCAAATCCACTGGATCCCAAAAGTGACTGGTGGCCCAAGAGGCTGACTGTATCACAATCCCCTGGTGAAGCTGTTAAAAACACACCCTCAGGGACTCTGGTCCCCTGGGTCTAGGGTAGAGCCCAGGAACCTGCATTCTAACAGCCTCTCTCAACTCCCACTCCCAAGACTCTGATTGGTTTGGGGCCCCCTGATGATCCACTCCTCTTCTCTAATGGATGATGCCTCAAGATGTGATTCGTCAAGGTCATACAACCTGTCAGAGGCAGAACTAGAACCCAAGTCTCTGGAGTCCTTCCAAGCTTCGTGCACCTGGTTAATTACAGGCTGCTAATAGAGACGCGGAGGCACTCTCATCTAAAAGCCGGTCTGACAGAATTAGCTATGGTTGATTCTGCTTCGATTTAAGAGCTCAGCTTCTCTCAGGAATTCCCTATTAATAGCAACTGCTCAACCACAGAGCTGTCATGTTTGACCCCGAGTCCAGAGTAGTCTTTCCCTCCATTTCTAAAGAAGGTTTAAGAGAGATGACCCTTGCCTTAGGCTTGGAGAAGGTGGGGTGGTTTTACTTCCAGTGTGGGGAAAACAATAGTCACTGATTTCACAGGATGTTAGCCATTTTCCCATTCAGATGAAAGTGGTCCAAAGCTCATACTTAGAGAAACACTGCTGTCATCCTAGCCTTGCATTTGGCCAAGTGGCTCATGGAGGGTAAGGAGCTTGCTGAAGGTCATACAATTGTCAAAAAGCAAGAAGGAACTAGCTCTTCCTAAGGCAGATCTTAATGGAAACAGGGGCCAAAATCAAACAGGAAGCCCTTGCTCTGACCTTCCTGCCTCCACCTTCTCTTCCAGCCACAAACCTGAACTCTGCTTTCACTGAGCCCTTACTATGGGCCAGGTCATGTGTTACAGAGATTGCTCTTCTAATCCCAGGGCCTACCACAGTACAAACACACAATAGACATTAAATACAGGTATAGAATGAACAATCCCTAATTTTTCCAGAAGTATTTTTATGGCTTCTCATGTTCAAGCGCAAGTAGACCTGCTATCAGGAACAATTACATTAGACAAGGCTGGATGATGCTGTCCATGAGCCTGGCTCACAGAGGCAGGCATGTGCCTGAGACGACTGTGAGACTCAGACTTGCACGCGTGTCTTACCGATAAGAACAGAGAAGAAGAACTGCACGATGGGGATGTTCAGAATTGGGGCCGAGAGGTTCAAGAACCAGTTTGGCGTCATAGGGAAAAGTCTCAGAAACAGTAAGAAGAAAAACAGGCCACTTCTGTTCTCCTCCACCTGAAGCCAAAGAAGACAAGGCCATTAAGAAGCAGAAAGAGTCTCCAGTTGGTGAAAAATCTGTTGGTGCCAGGCACTGTTCCAGACACTTTTCATATTCTGTAAGTTTCAGGGCAGAGATTGTTTTCCTCATTTTTAAAATGGAAGTGCCTGGGACTTCCCTGGTGGTCCAGTGGTTAAGAATCTCCTTTCCAATGCAGGGGATGCAGGTTTGATCCCTGGCTGGGGAACTAAGATCTCATATGCTGAGGAGCAGCTAAGCCGGAGTTCCACAACTGGAGGGCCCAGGGACCACAACGAAGACCTAGCGCAGCCCCCAGCTCCCCAAAAATGGAGGTGCCTGAGGCTCAGAAGTCAGGAACCTGCCCAAAGACACAGAGCTGGCAGTGATGGAGCTGGAGGCTAAGCTCAGGTCTTCATCTCTAGGAGACATCAATAGGCGCTCTGGAGTCTCCTGCGGCAGAGGAGGAGGGCACTGTGGGAACCCCCTGCACCACACTCCCCTCAGGGCCACGCCATGACTTTCTAGGGACCCAGCACTCAGAGGTACCCTCTAGCCTTACCTTCTTCTGCAGCAGGGCAACTTTGTCAGGAAAGTATAAGACCACCAGCTGTTTGCCAAAAACACTGGATAGCAGGTAGCAGCCTGTGGCACCCACTGAGGTCAGCACGCAGCACAGCAGAAGGCCCAGCCACGGCCCAAACAAAGCACCGGCTAAAACATTCTGCAGAGGAAACATACGGTCTGCCATGAGGATGCCAGCCATCTCGTCTTGGAGCCTGGGAGGCCTAGGTTCCCTCCTGCTTCAGTGATTTTCCTGGACAAAAAACCCTATTCCCATTGTAAAGAGATGAATGAAAGGTGATGAAAGATCTGGGAACTACAACCCTGGCTTCAGTCTTCTCACCCTTAAAACTGGGAAGAGTATTAAAACCTCAGAGGACAAGACAGAATTAAATGGGAAAACCTGCGTCTTACACCCAGCCTTCCACATGGGCTGTGATACGTCCTGCAGACCCTGAGGCTCTGGGGAGGCAGAAAGAAAGCTCACAAATTATTTTTGCTATTCTAAATGGACACAAACCATGGATTTCCCCTTAGTTAGACCACATGAGCTTTATAGAATGTCTCATTTCTTTGCTTTCGGCAGGAATTACAGATCTGTGGTATGCTAACCCTGGCAGTTTTGTGTTGATCAGATTTCTAGCTGACACTCAAAAAAGCCTGCAATGAACCAAAATGGAAAAGTGAACCAATACTTCCTAAATGCAGTCTGGCTAATAGACACCATCCTGCCAAACACAGAATCCAAGTGAGAAAATAAAAGGGGGACCTGGAAGCGAGAAGGCGGGGATCTCCTCAGCACCTCCAATGTGCTAAGGACTTGACAACATGTCCGATTTAATCCCCAACAAGACCCTGTGTTGTATGGTAGCCTCACCCCACTCTACCAGTGCAAGATTAAGTATGGTCCCCAAGGCCACATGAGGAAGAGATAGGATGCACCCCCAGGGAGCAGCTGGCTCTTTGCCCTGCAGAGGGATCAGCTCAAGAGAGAAGGAGGTATGGGGGCAACCCCAGGAGACAGATGGCCTCTGACCCCCAGCACCACACATGTCCCCATCTCTCTTGGCATGGCTATGTTTGCTTTTCTTCCAGTTGCTAACAAAGACACAGCTGAGGTAGATCCGGCCTGAGCTGAATGTTGGGGCAGGAGGGAGAGCAGGACAGAAGGGAGCTTTCAAGGCTGCCTGCTCAGTGCCAAAGCCGCTGTGTGCCAGGCGCACCATCACTGTGCCAGCCCTTCTGCACCCACTGGGTCATTTAATCCTCCCACGTAACAATCCCGGGGGTTACGTAGGCAAGTCTCTGTTCCACAGATGAGGAGGAGGGTTGGAGAGGTTAAATGGTTGGCTCACTGTTACACAGCTGGGATCTAAACCTCCCCAAAGCCATAATATATATATACATTTATACCAACAAGCTTACAATGCTGCTGGGAGAACAGCACAAATTCTCCTGTATCACCTGAGATGGCAGCTGGTTAGAAGCATCCAAGAGCCCACGCACAAGCCTGGATTTAACACTGCAGCTCTCGAGAGCCAGGGGGCCGCCTGGAAAACCAGAGTGACTCATCCTCCCCACACCAGGGAGGTTTCCCGACCCTCTCCAGCCAAACATCACCAGGAACAACCTGCATCTGTTCATCAGACACTTACGAAGGCACTTCCCTGTGCCAGGCAAACACACAGGCTGTGAACAAGGAACAGGCCCAGCCCTCAAGGAACTCACAGACTAGTGGAGAAAACAGATTTTAAAAGAAAACCAACATGCGGAAGGGGAGAGGTCTCAAGGACGGTGCTCCACAGCTGTCAAATCCTTAGAAACAAAAGCAGCAAACTTGAGAGGAGAGGTAGGCTCTGGAGCTGCGGGGTGAGGGGGTGGGGCGGGGGTCCAGACCCCAGCCCTTCCCCCTCCTCGCCTCGTCACCAGGGACAGTAACTTAACTTCTCACCATTCACCTCCTTGTCTGTAAAATGCAGATAACAATGCCCGTTACTGGCTCTTGGAAAATTAAATAAGGTCGTGCGGGTAGAGCAACTAGGACAGTGCCTGACACAGGGAGAGCTATCAACAAACAATACCCACGGTAGCCCGTCCTCTGGACTGTAGGCTCTGCAGCCTAATGGCCCCTCTGCAAAGAAGAACGTGGCTTCCTGGGAGGCAGGCACAGGAGGAGGGCAGGATACTGACCAGGAAGCTGGACCCAGGGATGGCAAAGCTCTGTTTGTAGAGGTAGGCACTGCAGAAGAGCAGGAACACGTAGACCTGGTGTTCCTTCCGGTATTCTCGAAGGACCTCGGAGAGTTCCCGCAGCTCAGCCAGGTCCGAGGGAAACCACAGTGACCTGGAGATTTGGAAAAGCAGATGGAAACAAAGAGTCAAAAACAGCCTCATACCTAATAAAGTCACTTGCTGTGTCTTCTTTCCAAAACAGGTTTTTTAATGTGCCCATCATTTGGTCTGCTGGGAACCAGCAGAGATGTGGGGAGGCTAGGATGATGGATGACCTGATATTTATAACACAGCAGAGGCAAGGAGAAGAGCCTCGGTTTGGAAGCAAGGGACTTGGCGTAGCATCTGAACTCTGCTACTATCCAGTGGTATGATCTCAGGCTAGTCGTTGAGCCTTAGCTTCCTTATTGGAAAAATGAGAGGTTAATGGTAGATAATCACTAAGTTCCCTCTTAGCTCTCAGATTTTATGGACTAGTCTTTTTAATAATTTTTAATTGGAGGCCAATTGCTTTACAATATTATGTTAGTTTCTGCCACACAACAACTTGAATCAGCCATAAGTGTATATATATGCCCCTCTCTTGAACTTCCCTTCTACTCCCCACCCTATCCCACCTCTCTAGGTTGTTACAGAGTACAGGGTTGAACTCCCTGTGTTATACAACAACTTCCCATTAGCAATCTATTTTACATATAGTAATGTACATGTTTCAATGCTACTCTCTCCATTTGTCCACCCTCTCCTTCCCTCGCTGTGTCCACAAATTTGTTCTCTATGTCTGAGTCTCCATTCCTGCTCTGCAAATAGGTTCATCTGTACCATTTTCCTAGATTCAGTATATGTGCATTAATACGTGATAGTTGTTTTACTCTCTCTGACATCCTTCACTCTGTATAACAGGCTCTCCGTTCACCCACCTCACTAGAACTGACTCAAATGTGTTCCTTTTTATGGCTGAGTAATATTCCATTGTATAAATGTACCACAGCTTCTTTATCTACAAACAATAAATGCTGGAGAGGATGTGGAGAAAAAGAAACCCTCTGGCACTGTTGGTGGGAAGGTAAATTGATACAGCCACTAAAGAGAACAGCCACTAAAGAGACTCCTTAAACAACTAGAAATAAAACTGCCATATGACCCAGCAATCTCACTACTACTACGCATATACCCTGAGGAAACCATAACTGAAAAAGACACATGTACCCCCAGTGTTCACTGCAGCACTATCTACAATTGCTAAGACATGGAAGCAACTATTCCAAGTCCAATGGACTTCCTAGAAGTCCACTGACAGATGAATGGATAAAGAAGTTGTGATCCTTATAAACTATTCCTAAGAGGCAAATGAATTAATTTCTAGGCAAGTATGGAATGCCCTGAATTGCCTTCCTTTCCAGGGGCAAACCCTCCCCCCTAAGCTTTAGGCCAAGGACAATTCAAACTTCACACTTCTCCTAAGTTACTAGGTAAAACGATTGCTTTATCAATCACAAAGGAGAAAAAAGCTTCCCTGGGAAAGTGTATTTGTCCCACACCATAATCTTCTTGGTAATATGCCAGGCTTGAAACCAACCCTTCCGACCAGCCTGCTTTTCACCCTGCTTTCTATATGGTCCTCACTGAACTCTGATTCCTGTACAAGGGTTACTCTGTACAAAGGCTACCTTGCCTCTGTCCTCTGAACAACTCTGGAATCCATCAATGATCAATTACATACAAACCCTCCTGGTTCTCATTAGAATGTTTCTCTTACTCTGACACCCCCAGCACAGCCTTCCCAGCTAGAGCAAAAGAACAGTCACTGAAAACAGTTCTCCTAATATTCAAACCTAAGTAACATATATCTTCATTATCTTTACAAACAGCAGGCCGGTTTCACGACAAACCGGCCCCGTAAGTATCTGTACCGCCTCCTGCCTAACACTGTGGGTAAGTAAAAGGAAAAGCTGAGCCAACCAAGAAGAGACAGTCGATAACTAATTAGTGAATAATTTAAAGTTGTCCATCAACGTTTTTCCTCAAGCCCGATATGCCTTCAAGTCCCAAGGGCCGATTTGACCAGAAGTGAACTGGAGAGGACGAAGGAGGGAGACTGAGAACCGGCTGCGGGTCCACATCGGGGCGAAGGTGGGATGCAAATAGGGGTCAGGGCTGGGCCTGGAAAGGCGACAGGAACATCACTCAAGAGGCGACCCAATGAGGGGAGCAGAGGTGCTCCAGCAGGATCAGCCCAAAGTAAGGCGCCGCGTTTCCCTCCGCAACTAAAAGAAAAAAAAAACCAGAAGGCACCAGACAGCACTCCCGCGCGGCCGGCAGCACGCAGATCCCAGCCAGGTCCCGGTTCCAGTTCACGCGGCCTGCCCAAGACAGTGTAGACGCGGCCCGACCTCCAGTCCCAGGACTAAAGCCCAAATCCCGGCCCCCGACGCCTCCGATCCGGGAACCCGAATCTCCGGTTCCCAGACTTCATCCTCGGACCTGGCTCCCTTCCTCTGACCCGAACCTAGGACCCAGTCACCGCCGCCACGCACCTGTCTCCAGCCTCCTCGGCTGAGACCAGTGTCGACGCGCGAGGCAGTCGCGTGGACAGCAAGTACAGGGCGAAGGTGCTGCCAGCGAAGACCATGAGGAGGCCGAGTAGGGAGTGCATCGCGGCCCCCGTACTGGGACTCGCGGGGCCACGGAGCGTCCTGGAAGTAGTGCCAGGAACCTCGCTGCCTGCCGGCTGCGCCAGCGGAACGAGTTAGCAGACGGACAAGGGCGGGGTCTGCTCCAGGCCCCGCCCCTATCACCAGGCCCCACCCCCGGCCCGGACTCCTTGAGCCACTGGGTCGAGAATCCAGCAGAGGAACCGTCCTTCCTTCTGCTCTTGCTTCTATTCTCGTTCCGTGTGTATATCTTTTTATACGTTTATCTCTGTCTCTTTTCTCCACTTATTTGCTGGGTCCCTGCCAGGCGTTAGGACGTCCGGGGTGAATCGGGAACCCAGACCACAGCAAGCTTGCAGTCTAGGGGTCAAGATAGGCTTGTTGACCACCAGCTGAACCAGAGGCTCCAGTCCAGTGCGGTGGGATAATCAAAGCGATCACGGAAATAAGGAGAATTTCTTTTTATTAAACTCCTACTATATGTCCATTATCCCTAATCCTCACAACAGTTCTGCAAGATTGGTTTTTTGTCTTTATTTAACAGATGAAAAATCCCAAGTCTCAGATTAAGTAACATCCCCCAAGAGAGCCACGATCAGAATCCAAGTCACCCTGGGTCCAAAACTAGTGGTTCTGTACTGCGTGGATTCATGGAAGAGGTGGGGTTTGAGTTTACCTTAAAGGATGAGCAAGATTTCCACAAGAGAGACAGGAAAGAGGTGAATGGGGGACCCCAGGAAGGGACCAGCGTCTAGTTTCTGTGAAGCCTACAGGGGTGAGAAATAAGTGAGAAGGTGGAAACAAACTGGAAAGCATAGAAGAGCAGCTAAGGAGTTGGATTATTTTTTTTAATATTGTACATGAGGAGACACCAACAGAGGTGTTTAAGCAAGAGAATGATTTAGTTCCCATTTTAGGATGTTTTCTCTGGCAGATGATTAGACTGCATTCTGAGTTGGTAGCTGATGAGAAAGGTTGCAGGCCTGAGCCAGGACCACAGTAGTGGGGAGGAAGATGGACAGACTGGAAGAGTTGAGTTGGTAGGACATGGCTAATTAAATGGAGAATGACAGAGAGGACTCCAAAATGTCACAAGCCTGGACAATAGAAACATCCTTGTCATGTCATTCAAAGCTCCTCTTGGGCTACATAAGGAGCACCTGTCTGAATTCAAAGTGTACAAGATCCTAACAAGCCCACGTCCAGTAATTTAACCCATAGATAGGCCCTTAGGCAGACAAAGATGTTATGTTCAAGGGTATTCTGTCGGCTTTGTTTTGATATGAGGATATTGGGAACAACCCAAATGCCCATCATTTGGGGACTATCGAGGTTAATTATAGTATATTCACAAGTAGAACAAATTCTAAGCCGCTTCCTGAAAAAAGGGAAGCAGCTCTGTGTATCCAGATACAGTACAGTAGCCAGATAGATGGGTAGGATAAAAATCAAACAAGTTGCAGTGTTAGGCTATATTATGACTCATTTGTAGGAAGAAGAAAAAATATATTTTATATTTTCAAAATTCTGGGCTCTGCATGAAGGAAATGAAATGACTCAATGTCTGGGATTTGCATCAAAATAATGGGATGGGACTGTAGTAAAAATATAAACAAAACAGGATTGGCCACTGAATTGATAATTGCTGAAGCTGGGTGATGAGTGCAGGGAGGTGGATTTTACCATTTTCCCTAGTTTCCATGTATGTGCAAGGTTTTCCATTTTAAAACATGTGTGGGACTGTTCTCAGCCCTCCATTCTTTTCTCCCTTCAAATCTCCCATTCCAGCTGAACACACATGGTGTTAGTTTGTGCCTCTGAAAACACTCTTCTCTGGCAAACTTCTCTGCCTGAAAACTCCTACTCTTTCATCAATACACAGGACAATTGTCACCTCCTCTGAGAAGCCTTCTCCAGCTCCTGCAGTCCAAAAGGTTGTTCCTTCTCTGTGCTTGGGGCTGCCTGTGAAGTGTCTTTATTCCTGCGGTTGCATACACTGTGCTCCAGCATCGTCACCCATCTCCCCAGGAGACAGTGAACACTTCTGTAAATGAGACAAAGTCTCACCATCCCGTGTCTGTCCCAGCCCTTAACCCTGTGCCTGGCTTATCACTGGCACTTAATAGAAAGAAAGAAAGTGAAGTTGTTCAGTCATGTCTGACTCTTCATGACCCTTCTGTCAATGGGATTTTCCAGGCAAGAATACTGGAATGGGTTGCCATTTCCTTCTCCAGGGACTCTTCTCTACCCAGGGATTGAACCCAGGTCTTCTGCACTGCAGGCATGCTCTTTACCGTCTGAGGGAAGCCCAAACTAAAGAAGGTCCCACCGAGATTTGAACTCAGATCGCTGGATTCAAAGTCCAGAGCGCTAAACATTACACACTTAATGATAGTTGGTTAAATCAACGGATCAGGCCTAGGGAGGACACGACTGGTTGTTTGGTTTGAAACATGTTGATTTTGAGAAGTCAAAAGAATATAGGCGGAGAGAAACTGAATGAATAATGATACTGAGCCTTTGCCAGGAATGTGCAGAGCAGAGAACAGGAAGAAAAGCTCCTGTTCTCAGGGCTTCACTTTGCCTTTGGTTGGGGGAGAGTATGGAGAGTTACAGAGCATGATATTGCTACAGAGGAAATGATGTGGCCAAGCTTCCAGAAAAGCACGTATCATCATCCCTTTCATGGATGATGGTTGAGCAGGTGTTCAAGATGGAGTCACTTTAAGGGTTGGTGAAGCCCAGGGCTGTGAGTGTTGAGCAGGACTGCATCTTAAACATAGGTCCCTTCCAAGCCCATGCTCCTTGCTCCACCTGGCACTGGCACCACCTCTCAATGCACAGGTGAAAATCCAGAGCTTGGGCTAAACATTCATACGTTCTGTCTAGAGGAGACAGTTGAAACGGGAGGTCTCTAAGGGAGACCATGAGAGGGAAAGTAATAGCAGCTGACATTCATTGAGTCTAGGCACAGCTGACCCCACAGGAAACCTTTTACACACATGAATGTATTTATCATATCATGAGGCAGGGGCTCTTAAAAGCCCCCACCTTACAGTCCAGAGAAGGGAAACTTAGGCGAAGAGAATTCAGTAGACGGAGGTCTCTTCCCAGGAGATAACAGACCCTACCTGCTTACTCTATACTGCCTTTTGCAGAAAAGACGGAGATCAGAAGCCTGATAAGGAGATAGTGGAAGCAGTGAAAGAGAACAAGATAGCTTATTCAGGGATGTTGGATGATCGAGAGGGTGGTGGGGAAGAGTACCAAGGGCCCCAGAAAGACCGTTAGAAAGGGACCAGTGCTCAGTGTCAGAGTCCATGGAAAAATCCAACAGGGAGACCTGAAGGATTGTGGGTCTTAGGCACCACCAGGTGGAAAGGGACTTTTGACAGCTCATTTGAAAGACACAAACCTAATTTCCTACAGGATCACTGCCCAAAACCCTGCTTGCTGCCCCTGACCTATCCCCCTTGCCTCCTGTCCTGATTTCTCCTGCTCAGCCCGTCTGCTTTGGGGAAGAAACCCTGGACTGTGCTCCCCACTACCAGCCCAGCTCCAAAATGATCATAGTCTCCCTTCTGGCCCCCAACCCAGCACCTGCAGAACCAGCGGCAGCCTGTAAAGCACAGCAGCAACCCCCCACCAGGGACACATGTTGGACTGGGAAGCAGGTCAGGGGTGATGGTTCAGGGGTGGGAAGGAAGAAAAGCCAAGAAGCTCCAGTGAGAATGAATTAGCCCGTCACTCCCTGTGGCTCTTTGTCTTAGGGCTCACCCTCCTCTTCTGGCTTAACTGGATCTGCTCAGAGCAATATAAAGGAGTAGCTCTAAAAAAAAAAAAAAAAAAGAGTAGCTCTGATCAGACCACATGGCTTTGCATCCCCATTCCTGCTCCAACCACCACCAATGAGAAGAGGATGGACACCTGCCCCAAGAGGAAGACCCAAGGGCCAAGTCCTCTCCCTGGACTTTGGAATTGGACCACCTAGTGAGTGGTCCCAATGATCCCAAGGACCCCAGTGACCCACAGCTGCCCTGTGGAGTGGGTGGAGCTGATGCAGAGAGACCTATGGCAGAGCACAGGGTTAATAAAGTCCTATGGACTCTTGTTGCTGAAGGCTCCAGCATGGCCAACATCCCTGCTCTTCCTGATGTCTGATGGTTCAACCCTCCCTTGGGTTCCACAAGTCCTCTCTCTAATAAAATCCAGGCTAATATGAGTGGATTTCTGCTACTGGCATCCCAGTCAGGAATGAGAACACAGGATAGGGGTCTGAGGGTGGGAGGTTTTGGAAATAAGTATGTTGATGTCTAAACCAGAACGGAGGTGGCTCCCTCAAGTCCCTGAGGACAAATCCACTCTATTCTGCTCAACAGACATCGGTTGGGCACCTGCTTTGTGCCTGGCATTGTGGTGGGTGCTAGGGCAGCAAAGACAAATAAGCAGCAGCTGCTCTCGTGGTGCTCACAGCCTTGGAGGATATGCCGACATGGAAATATATTACCATATGGCTGAATACCAGCAGCGCCAGTAGCACATACAACATTGGTGGCAGAGTGGGTGGTAGAAGAGAGCCGTGGAAGAGGAAGCCTAGCTCAGGGTCACCCAGAAATGCCTGAGGATCCTGGAGGGCTTTAGCTGAGGTGCAGAAACAGGGGAGTGGGCGAAGGCAAACTCTCCTTGGCTTCAGGATAGGTGAGCTTGCTGCAGGATAGTATCGGGATCACCTGAAAGTTGTGATGAGGAGTGAAAACAAGAGCCAAACTCTCTCTCCCAGGAAGCCTGCAAAGTGGGCAGTGGACCAACAGAGACAAAAGAGATAAGAGTAAGAAAGGTGCCTGGGAGAGAGGTCTAAGACAGAGAAGGGTGGGCACCCCCAGAGAAATGGGCTGGAGCTGGGGGTGGAGGACTGATCCATCCTCACAACTGAGCATGACTCCATAGGGCTTACAAGATAATGGACAGTGTTCATTTAATATTTCCTGAGCACAGAATACATTGTAGGCATCACACTAGGCACATGGCCTGTGCCTGGCAGATCATTCTAGTGGAGAAGACACATTAATCAGATAATC